AACCACACATTAATACAAGAAAGGAAACTTTGCTTAAGCAGCTATCAAAACAATATTTTAGTGTGCTATGAAATTCAAATCCTCAAGGGGGTTGAGATCTTATAATTTATAATATTTTATAAATATTTGATCTCTTATAATATATGGATAATTAATGCATACCAGATCTACTGCAGGGCTCGAGTTTGAACACAAAGAGCAGCTCACCCCAAAAAATGAGTCTGTGTGTGTGTGAAGGAGGATTCTATGTATGCTGTTAGAGTTGCTAAGAATTCTTTTATCAGTGATCAAACTGAAGTATTCAAGAAAATTCAGTCAATAACCCCTGGTACTGAAAAATAAGTATTCCTTTGGCAGAGCTCAAGAGATCTTGACTGCTCTTGCACCGAAGAAGTAGTTCATGCCTGCAGTACTTGAATATTGTTCAGATGCATTTATCCCTCAGAAGCACTTAAGTTTGGTATTTTATGTGAGTTTAACTGCTCAGATAGTTTTGAACAAAAATTTCAATAGAGCACTTATATATAATGTAATATAAGAATTGATGGAGCAAATACAACACAGAACGCTTGTCTTAAATCTGGGTAGAGCTCTGAAAATACAACAGTGTTTGTAATCTGTAATGTTCCTTCTTACTTTACAAGGTAAAGGGGACAAAGTTCTAGCAGAACACAAGCAGCCAAGTTTAGGTATCAAGAGAACACTCAGCATAATCATTCCAGTGTCCTGAAGACCTGCACCGAAAAGTCACATGGATCTGAGCCTAGCGACATGAAGAACAGAAGATCAGCTGCTTTTTTTCAGAGCTGCTCCACATTGACCTGAAGGGAATTCATGTGAGAATGTTCCCCAAGGGTCCCTTTTGTGGTTGTGATTTCTTAGGGATCCCACAGGAGTTCAGCAGATTGCAGAGTTCCTGTAGAAAGCAGATGCACTTGGAAAATAGCCAGAGCAGCAGGATGGTGGGAAAGCCTCTCTCCACATATAGAACTGTCAGGCTCTAAGGCACAGTCACTATCTTCAACTCTTCTGATTTAAGAGGACTATTTAAAGCACATACCCAAACCCCAGGTTTTGGGAGTTTCTCATATTTTTGTAATTTTCTTAACCTGTACCTTTATGTCATTCAATACAAGGAAGTATCCAAGAGCTCATCATTAATGATGTTCTTATTTTCATAAGATACTAATAAATATAGCTGGGTATTCTAGTCTCAGTTTTGTTATTGGTAGCACGTCCTACCTAGCCCAAACAGCTCACAAGTCAATAAAAATTAATTTTGTGGTGATATTATATTTAAAGACAAAATAAAACCAGTTCATTAGAATAATGTTTGAATCTTCATAAAATATAAAACCAGAAATTGCTATAGATGGTAGTTCATCAATTTTTGACTTCTTTTTTCCCCTCTTAGAATGAAGATTGAGGGGGAAAGGCAAAGACAGATTTTTTGCTGATAAAAACCTGTTGCTTTTAGGAGTTATTCAGACATCATGCAATATACGGAAAAGCCAGAATTTTACCTCAGGAGACTCATTCTCCACAGAGGAAATCTGTTCTAACCGTGTTTGACAAAGTCTTTCCACCCAGTGCTGCACCTTTTCTGATTCCTCCAGGTCCTCTCTTTCTGTCTCAGATACCTTAACCATAACAGCGGTGGATGAAAAAAGGTTACAGGTATGGTCACAATACAAATACGTTTCACAAGCATGAAATGCCATTTAAACTAGTTTTTAAACCAATAATGCTTTAGAGGATGATTTCCTATTTTGCTGTCAAACAGCTTCTTAAACTTCATTGTCTTTGACATAATAAACAAGTGTCCTGCTAAGATAATTCCACTAAAGATCCAGCTCATTTTCTTTCAATATAGTTTTGTACTTGATAGATCACAACATACCTCTTGCACGAGACGATTTATTTTCAGTTGTTTTTCTCTCTCCAACATTCCTTCTTTCTCTTTAGCAAGTTTTTGCTCAAACTCCATTTCCTTTTTATTCTTCTTTTGTTCACAAAAGCTATCACTTTTTGACTTCTTTCGTTCTTTCCCTTTCTGGGAAGTTTTTTTACAAAAATTGTTTAGTAAAAACACCACAAACTTCAAGCTTGGTACATGAGTGCCTGCCCTGAATATTTAATTACAACCAATGCAAGTATGGGGATGGTCTTTTAAAAGAAAATCTACAGTCCAGTTACCCAGCAACTTGCAGGAAATTCAACCTTTTTTGGAGGGCCTCTGCCCATTAATGTAAGTTGGACGAGATCAGACAATTCAACTTTTTGTCTCCTCTGCAAGTTACAACTTTAGGGCACACAGCACAACCACAAAACTTTGAATAAATCAAACAGTTTTGGCTGGGTCTTGATTTACAATCTCTGTTTTGGCATATATATATATATAAGATTAATTGCTTTCAAGTGACAGATGCTCATGTATAGGTAGATGGCCTATAAAACAGGTTCATGCATATGTCCTCAAACCAGCACTGCATCCCTTAATAAAACTGAAAAAAGGAATTATAAAGGAAAGGCTTAGATCATTGCAGAAACTGAATTGCTTCCAAGGAAGAACACTGCATCACAAAGACCATGTAGCTCCTACAAGCACTGGATAAAATCTACTCAGACGAGTTAACTAATATAGCACAAAGCAACTTCAAAATTCTAGATGTAGAGTGCAACCAAAGGGAAAAGCTGCACAGTCCTTTTGAAGCCTCTGTTCCTGTTGATATTATTCACTAAAAAATTAGAAAATACATTTGGTACCATCTACTAAATGTAACACCAGGCAGATCAACCCTCTAGGTACCAATGTTTGAAAAAATTACTGAACTCAAAGGCCCACTAAGCAGTACACAGGCCGAAGTCTTTCAGAAGATGAACATATATCAGACAATCTTAGCTGCCTTCACTGCATTCAGATACAACAGGATGATTCATCCTTTCCACCAATTTTCCCCATGGATTCAGTTTACTCCCTATTAAAGATATTTTTAGTGTAGAGTGAAATTTTAGTTTTAAAACAAAACAAAACAAATCATTAGCAATTTGGAGGAGGATGAAAATTCATCACTGCCAGATTTAAAAATATTTCTAAAAGCAAAAGATTAAAAATACATCTTCTGAAGTTTCTAGTATGTCAGAGTTCAACAGTAATTGTGTAAGATCTTCATTACTGTATGGAAAGGAATTTTCTGTAAAAAGGAAAATTCTGTAAGCTATATTTGCAACAACAATACAAGAGACTGCCCATTTGTGCTAAGAGACTGAGTTTTCATAACACACATCTAGAATTTTCAGATAAAAATCCTGACTGCACTGGCTTTCAAACAGGTTACAGATCCATGGTGATTTATAGTCACTAGCAATAAAAAATGGTATTGGAGTGTACCATCTTTTCCTGTTCTTTATTAAGGAGAACAGGCATATCCTGGCCACACAGAAGGTTAAGGTAATAATCCGAAATGGTGACACAAGTACTTCATCTATCAGAAACAATCCTGATCTCCTCAGAAACCTTGAGTTCTCAGAAGATTGGTGCAAGAAATCTTCATTTCACTTCTAGCACAGTTAATTACCAAAAAAACCCACCACCAAAGCACACAGCACCACAGCAAACCCCATAATATGGCTAACACACATTGAAAGAAGTAAAGACAATAAAGCAACAGCAAGAACAAATTATTATTTGAAACTCTGATAAAGCGAATTTGCAATACTTCAGCAGCATCTCTATAGACAGAAAAATATTCTATCACCTTAAAGACTGCTGAAGTTTTTTTGCTCACTCTGTGTGATGCACATGCCAAACAGCCTTTTGCCTTCAGCACTTCTTCTACAGGGAAATTTGCAAAGGTGTAACTGGGAACTGAGTATTTGATTCCCATTTAATTTTTTCTCTGTACTCCTTGGGGTTTTTTATATCCGTGATTTTGAGGACTTTTGGAGAACATGAAGACTTGCACTGCCTACCTGTAATGAACACCTTCTGCAAAGTATTGACACACCCTCTGCAGCTGGTAGAACTCAAAAGTCCAAAGCACTCAAAAGGACAAACTCCTAGACACACACAATCCAAACGCATCTTAATTTGTGCACACATTAAAGGAAGAAGCATTTGACTATAAAGAATGCTTAGTAATGACAGAGAAGAAGAAAAATGGGGAATTCAAATTCAAACACACAGCAAACACATTTACATATCACACTTTGTACCTTACGGATGGTGGGAAATTTTCCTTCATACCGATAAAACCATCCAAAAGCTAAAAAAGGTAAAGGAGAAGTTGTTTTTTTTGAAGAAGAGCCAAGGGCTGGTTCATATTCAGATCAATCCATGTTGACACATGTAACATTAAAATTTATTTGAAGGCTCAACACCAAAGGACTGCTATTACATGACAAGTTCTTAGTCAGTTGTTAAATTGTGCTACTACATTTAGTTGTAAGTTTCCATTATTTTAATGATACACATTTTATGTTAAACAAAGCAAATGCAACCAGTAACCTTCACACAGAAACATAAAGGCTAAGATTTCTATGGTCACAGTCCTACTTTACAGTAGTCTTAATAAACCCTCTTAAAATGAAAGAGGTATTCAAACTCCTTCAAGTTTGTGGCAGGACTGTGGCATTTGAGGAGACAAGTAAAGCTTCATTTCCTAGGAAAAATATTTCAAGCCAAGTGCATAAATAATACAAAACATATTGCTAAGTAAAAACATACAAAATAATCTCTTATCGTAATTTTATATATGAAACACTGGTAACACACAGAGCTCACTATATAATCCACATTTCTCTAAGACTGTTAGATTTAATATCAAGGTATCTTTAGAAAGCAACGACAGCAGCAGCGTCAAAACCTTTAATCTTTTACCAAAGGAATTTTAACCTAGGAAAACCAAATGGTCAGTTCAGTGTCAAGACTGACTGTCAGGAGGAAGTGAGACACAGGAAGAATCTGAATCAGGATAGGAAGTTACAGCTGAGTGGCAAACCTGTTTGTTCTGCTTCATGATTGCTTCATCCATGTCATCTGTTTCAAGCTGGTCAACTCCCTTTAAATCTACTAGAGAAACAAAGGAGGAAAGGAGTGAGGAGACAGAAGCGACAGCCTAAATGGAAGTTCCCATGAAATGAAAGAGATCAGCAATGTGTGATTAGAAGTTTCCATGATATAAAAAAAATAGTAGCTAGTAACAGGATATATTTCTATGTAATTGAGGAAAAAAAAAAAAAAAAAGGTCCTGCTTGAGTTAAATAATTTCCCAACCTTCTCCAACCCTGAAGAACAGTTAGAATCTCCATGTGGATTATTAGTCTGTTCTGTGGTGAAGGTGGGTGCAAAGGTAGGTGGCTTTTTCTGTAACCGAACCATCAGCAGTTCTGGGATATGTAGCTTCAAAGAGAAGTATCAGCCTTTTACTGCACCATCACTGGGGTGAATTCTACACAGAGAAAATACTGTACTGAAGAGTCAGAAAGCTAAATGGGTAGGAGATGGTTGCAGAAGAAACAATTCCCTATCACAGTTTCTCTTTCATGAAAAGTTAAGTGACTGCCAGAGTCATACACAAAATAACATAACCACGTTAGGAATAGGCCCAGGTCTCCTGTAAATTATGGAACAAGCACTTTGCAGTTGTTTTTTTTTTTGGTTTTTTTTTTTTTTTATAATACAATTTTAGCACAAACTCTCCACATACTCTTTGTACATTCCCATGTAGCATCTTAACTGCCAACTATGCTCTGACTTAAGTTCCTCCAGTCATCAAGTAAGTCAGACTTACATTTCAGGGCAGTTCTTCACGGAAAACTGCAGTGTACAAACAGAATCTACCCAGCCTCTCAACTAATTCTGAAGCAGAGTGCCCACTGATATCAAATCAATTTTCAGGTCCACATGCTTGAGGGAAGGGATGCCATCCAGAGGGACTTTGACAAGCTTGAAAAGTGGGCCTGTGTGAACCTCATGAAGTTCAACAAGGCCAAGTGCAAGGTCCTGCATGTGGGTTGAGGCAATGCAAGCACAAGCACAGAGTGGGAGGAGAAAGGACTGAGAGCATCCCTGAGAAGAACTCGGGGCGTTGGTGGAGTTGGGGATGTGGAAGAAGCTCAACATGAACTGGACAAGGGAGGTCACAACGCAGGAAACCAATCCTGTCCTGGGCTGCATACAAAGCAGCGTGGTCAGCAGGTTGAGGGAATTGATTCTCCCCCTCTACTCCACTCTTAGGAGACCCCATCTGGAGTGCTGCATCCAACTTTGGGGTCTCCAACATCGGAGGGATGCAAACCTGCTGGAGCAGGTCCATCAGAGAGGCCACAAAGATGAAGAGACTGCTGAAGCACATCTACTATGAAGAAAGGCTGAGAGAGTTGGTGTTGTTCAGCCTGGAGAAGGGAAGGCTCTGGGTACACCTTAGAGCAGCCTTCTAGTAACTAAAAGGGGCTACCAGAAAGCTGAAGAGTGACTTTTTAAAGGGCATGTAGTGACAGGACAAGAGGGAATGGTTTTAAACTAGAAGAGGATAGATTTAGATTAGATAAGAAGAAATTTTTTTACTGTGGGAGTGGTAAGACACTGCAACAGGTTGCCCAGAGAAGCTGTGAATGCCCATCCCTGGAAGTGTTCAAGGCCAGGTTGGACTGGTATAGTGGAAGGTGCAACCTGGTGTAGTGGAAGTTGCTCCCATCCATGGGAGGGGCATTGGAACTGGATGACCTTTAAATCCCTTCTGACCCAAACTGTGAAAAGGTTGACAGGAAAAACACTGAAGAGAAACAACATGGAAAACAATGCACCAAGCTAAGGGACTTACACTTTAGACAATTTCTTTGTAAGGTTTTTTTTTTTAATTTTACCTTATACTGTTGATGGTTAATAACCATGACTATTAGAGTGGATGTAGATTTTGCAAGGTAGGTACTTTTTAAATAAAAGTTGTTAAATTAATTTACTGTGTGCTTCCAGCCTTCTGAAAATAATCAATTCACAGAATCCCAGAAAATTCTGAGTTGGAAGAAACCCACAAGGACCACCAAGTCCAGCTCTTTAAGTGAGTGGCCCACACAGGGATTGAATCCACAACCTCGGTGTTATTAGCACCATGCTCTAACCAACTTTGCTTGGACACAAACTGGTGATATATTCCATATAGCTCTGTGATGTGTCTAAAATAAATACAAGGAGGTATGTTGAAATCAATTACTTACTTTTGTGTTTGGAACGAGGGGCAGAGTGCACTTCTGCAGTTACAGTTTTTAGAGACTTGGGCGGTTCTTTAGGACCCCAGTCTTCTTCCCACTCCTTTTTAAATTTCTCCTCCTCTGCTGTTATCCTAGAGGAAAAAAATGCAGCTAGGATTTCCAAGTATAAAAACAGCAGCATCAATATATATTAATTACAATTATTTGTATTTATTATGTTTGTTTTTTCTTTTAATATAAAGCATAATAAACTGCTCCTTCCCCCAAAGTATGTTCCTTTCATCGTTCCTTTTCATTTACTAAGCTACTAAGATAATTTGCAAAACACATTGTGACTGAGTAAAATATTGTTATTTTATATTGAGATTTCTAAGGCCAATTATATAAACCCCTGCACAGATACTAAGCCCAGAGTGATACACTACAGTATTGAATTTCCCCTTGGCTGAAGAAAAGAAACATCTCTCAGCTAGTACTTTTTCATTTTTAGAACTGGAATTACGTATTAGAAAAACAGTCAGTTTTAACTATAACACTAGGTGATAGAACATCTACCACATGCCTAAATCAAACGTTACAATGGTGAATTATACCTAAAAACTATGTGTCTTCTTTCTGTATCTTAGATCCATTTTGATGATTGCTCCCTAAACACATAGTTCTATGTTGCACTAAAAAGTTACTCTTCCCAAAAAGAACTAAATTCTGAAACACAAACCACATTAAGTTCAGGATTCTAGAAAAAAAGAGGCAAAAAATAATTAAAAAAAGAGAAGTGAGGTGAATGGAGAGGTAGAGAGAGAGGGCAGAGGGGCAGAGAGAGTGCCACGCTTCAGGACAAAGGCGATTGCAGAACAAGTAAATTACCTAGAAAGCACCTAGAATGGCACCGTGATCCCAAAAAAAAGGACATTTCAAAGGAAAATTCAGCAAATACCAAGTAGGTCACAACAGAAGTGTCATATAACCTAACAGCTTGTAGCTTCATATACGGGGCCTTAAGTGATCCAAGATCTATTTTTGACCAGAGCTGGTCTTGAACTGGTAAGTTGATACATGGTGCCAAAAATTTACTAGGTCTTCAATATATATGATGCTATTTATTCTTGGATTATCTTTTGCAACTCTAAATTAGCTAACGTAAATTGAAAAAGTATTCACATGGAGTCAAGGAAGTCTTAAATCTGTAGCTGAGCTCAGTATTTAAATTTAGAGGCATAGTCAATAGCAGGGAACAATTGACAGAATGTTTTTCCATTTCATTCGAATTTTAAAAAATGGAGTTACATTGAAGTATACAGAGTAAGGGACTTCTGCCATTTAAGCACATTTAAAATTTTTTCCTAAAAAGCATGCAAGATATCAAAAAGCAACATAGTAGTGACTTTACACAAGGAATTACTGCAGAAAGGATTTCTACAAGATAGCAAGCGGTGAGCCTCACAAACCACTAATACAGGAAAGCATTGTATTCTACTGTAACTGCCTCCCACAACTGCTTATTAAATCTAAGCTTTAGATTTCATCCAAGTTCCTCTACTACCATTCTCCCTCCTCCTCACCAAAGAGATTGACACTGACTGAACATTTTGGACTGTAATATGGAAAAGCTTTGCAGTGCCTGAGCAGCACTTGAAAATTACACAAGGAAGTATAAAGCTGTGCTAGACCTTACAATGAGGAGGCCTCAAGGCATGAAAGCCCCTCCGAGTGAGTAAAGATGTACTTAGTTCAGAAGAGCACTGCAGATATCCAACATTCATTATAACAGACAGGCAATCTGGATTTGGAGAACAGAGTCATTTGTCACCTCTGATGGTCTGCTTTTATAGCAGCTTCTGGCTACTGCATGGATTTCTATAGCAGACCCCAGTAAAGAACAGGATTATCAATTCCCCAGGAATTAGAAAAGGGAAACACATAAGAATTCATCCATGTGCTGCAGCAGAGCCCAAGGCCGGACTGTCAGAAGATTATTCTCTTGTGACAGCTGGGAAATATATTCCTTTTTTCACCTTACAGATTTAGATCAAAAGAGATACCATGTAACTTACTCTTCTTTCATGCAATTTCCCAACATTTAGAAGGGAAATTAAGTACTGAAAACAGCAATATGTAATACTGGTTGATTTCAAACTTCCAAATGTAGAACAATGCTTTAGTTACAAATATAATACCGACTATATTATGATAAAATCTTTGAATGTGTCTTGTTCTAGAATCACAGCTTTTAAAAACCAGAATAGACTGTGATAACAAGAATCAGATTTCCTGAATAAAATAGGTTACAGAACTGCCTGCTTTTGGTGCCACTGTTTTAATTAATTCTCACCTTAGAAAAGCAAAAGCCTAGTTAAAATTGATGATGACTGAAATTTCTACTCGAGTCAATTAGCGACACATAGTCCTTATTTTACAGAATCACAGAATATGCCGAGTTGGAAGGGATTGGCAAGGATCATTGGCCCTGCACAGGACCATCTCCAGGAGTCACACCATGTGCCCTAGAGTATTGTCCAAACACTTGAACTTTGTCAGGCTTGGTGCTTTACTTGGTGCTTACTTCCCTGTGTAGCCTGTTCCAGTACCCAACCAAACTCTGGGCAAACCCCTTTTTTCAATATCTAACATAAACCTCCCCTGTCTAACTCTAAATAGCTTTTGTTTTCAGAACTGTCTGACAGACTGAAAAGACTACTAAATTCCATCTTATAAATCATGAACAAACTACCGGTGCTTTGTTTTTTTTAATATATAAGGTAAGTGGACACTTCTTCAACTCCCCGAGGATATTCATATTTTCCAACTCTTTAGTGATTCTTCTCTGTCTTTTCCCTGATCTGCTTCATAGCAGTACTAATTTTTTTCAGTTAGAATCAAGTGTAGACAACAGAGTAAACAAGTTTAGAGACACAAAACTTCCTTAAGTTTCTCTATATATTAAAAACATATTTTTAAAATAAGTGCTCAACTTCAATTTCACATTGAATTTATTATTGTCATAAGCCTTATGTTTTCCATGCTGATTTTCAGATCAGTTTCCTATTCTGTAGCAGTGGTGTACTTACTGATATGCACTGGACCCTACATTTAGCTAAATGGAAATATTACACAGTTTTATTAAAAAGGAGCACTCAGAATGTTTTCACCCAGATCCAATATAAAAGAACCCTTCTTCAGGTGGCGTACTGCCTATGTCAGGTTTTTACTTACTGCTCTATTTCTCTGCGATATCTCTCTTCTTCCTCTGCAGCCTTCTGGGAAATCTCCAGTTTTCTTCTGTAATAAGAGGAATTAGGACACCATGATAAAAATAGTATCTTCTGAGTAAGAACTTGGACAAAGTGTGTCAGCATACAGTTAGTAAAAGATATAGACAGTAAATAAAAACATATTGAGGAAAATCTTTAAGTCATCTTAAAGATACCAAGGGTTCAGTAAGCTTTCATAGGAACCCTGAGGTGATTCCTGACCATCTGGATAATAAGGACATTGAATCACAGAGGTATGACAGCTGGGGAGCAAAGTGACCCTTCTACTCAAGATGGGTTGGAATGATGTCTGCTTTGAAAACACAGAATGTCAAGAGCACCACAGGAAGGGCATTTTAGGAGCAGAGACTCTGCAACAGCAAAACCAAGTTAATCTAAGTTGGGAATCTTCTCACTTCTGTGAGAATTGTCACAGAAATCACAGTGTGCTCCTGCCTTCCATGCCCTCTCCAAATCCAAGCTAAGTTTTTCGGACTGTCCTACACACAGTCCTTACATTCTCTCTTTCTCTTGCTGCTCTTTGATGATTTTGTTTGTCTCCAGCGCAAGCCGCTTCTGATGCATTAACTCCTGGCGTTCTTGCTCACGGAGACGTGCTTCTCTTTGTCTTTCTTCTTCAGTCATGAACAGATCCTTTCCCTGCAATCACAACCACCACCCAAATCAGTAGTGAAAAAACCTCATGAATGTTGTTCTTTTAGGAAATAATTCAAAAAGCAATTACATACGAGCACATCTGCCATTTCCTCACATCACTTTTTCTGAGGAATACATCCTGAAAGACCCTGAAAGACCTGACCACTCCAAAGAGCTATTCCAATTTCATACTCCAAGTTATGATGTGCTTAACATCTCATAGGAGTCATGCAACTACTGAAGTCAGCAACAACAGTGTAGGGGTCATGCCAAATACACGCTCAGTGTGTCACCCAGAAAAAAAATTGACATTATACTTTCTTCAAATCTAACTGAGCAATGAAATGCCAGAGAACAGCACACTGAATGATTCCCAGTGTGAAGACAACTACATAGTTACTGTGTTTTAATATTCTTATGCTTGGCTGCTGCGAAAAGGTACCATCATTCAGGAAACCCAAACACAAAACTTTTTATAGTTTATGTGTTTCAGTTGTTTCTGTTCCTGTTTCATTTGCTTTACAGTTAAGACAACAGCACTAATTCCTATTCAAGAAAGATATTTCCATAGTGGAACACTGATAACCTTTATCTAATTTTCATTTCTGAAATTAAAATCCCATGTTAATTAGGAAGGCAGGATTTTTCATGCCTCTAAGGCTCAAAGTGGGCAGCTTAAACAAAAGCGGGCATTGAAGAGTACCTCTGTATCTTTGTGGTTTTTGCTGATGAAAACCAGGAGTAGGGAAATTCTTTCCTTTTGCTATCTCTTCCTCAGTACAAAGATGTGTACTGAGGAAAGGGGAGACAGGCAAAGCGAAGGAGCGTGGAAGAGAAGAGTTCCGTAGCAACAGTTTGCTGTTCTAAGGACAGAACCCCAGCGGTGCACACTGGCGTAGATCTCATCTTTTCTAATGGTTGGTAACATATCTGGGAGTTGAAACTAAGTCCTTAGGATGTTGAGCTCCTGGAGCTTAATTATGGTGTCTGGATTTGTTTAAACAAGGTCTACAGTGTCTTTGAACAACTACATATTTTGTTACCGTAAGAGCAGTTTAAAAAAATCAATAATTCCTTAACATAGCTACACAGCATACATGAACCCTTAGGCAGCAGCTGAAGTGGTTTATTAAATATTTTTTCCTTATTTAATTCAGTTGCAAGACAATTAGAAAACACCAACTCTGATTAGTCTATGGAAGTTGATTATCCTCTTGTATATAACTGCACGCTTTGCAATAGGAAGGATTAATGCAGTTAAAAAACATTCAGACATTTATTAAAAGTCACACTGAAGTCAAAGAGACGATTTAATTAATTTCAGCTGGCTTTAGATTAAGCCCCAAAGGCTTAAAGTTCTGTTGTAAAAAAACAGTGGAAATGGAAAACTGAACAATTTTCAATGCGTTGATACACTAAATAGATCAGATAAACAGTTACACAATGAATTAATTTGGAATAAGGCTAAGACATCAGCTATTCAGGATTTGACTCCAATCCAATTCACCTTTCATGTTGCAGCAGAAGCAGATATCTATTCGAACAGAAGCTCTCAAACACGAAAAGCCATTATGATAAACTTAATTTCCACTGTAAAGGGAACTGTTTTGAATTGGCCTCAATCATGAAACTGTTTTATTTGAGAACACTTTGAATGGTATAAAATAACCAAAAGCCACTCAACCCTCCCTGGTTTGACAGAATTTAGAGGTACAGACCTTATAAAGAAACAGAGGTTTAGCTTTTATCTTTTTTTTTTTTTTTGACTATTTATTTGCCCAGATAGAAATTTTCACAAATGTTCTGCTTTTACAAATATACTACTTACAGCGCCTGCTACCACAGAGATAGTCAAAGTACGACTACTTTTGAGCACTCTGACAGCCTGCAAATTAAAACAAAACAAAAATCAGCCTTAAACAAGTGGTAAAAAAGGCTAGTATATATTCAATGGAAGATGCTGGTTGTCAAGGTATTTCCAGAAGCCCCACCTGAACTAAATAGGGTGGTAGATATGAAAATCTCCACCTGCCCATGCTTAGTTCAATTCCTTGAGTTAGCAGTCTAGTATGAAAATCAATTTTTTATGTCCAGGAAAATCAGACAGATGTTTAATAAGCCGACAACTACAAATTCAGGGAATTAGAAAGACTTGATCTTACCTCTTTATGATCCACATTAGAAAAGTCCACTCCATTTACCTCAACAATCTGATCACCAACCTAAAGAAATTAATACAAATTTTAGTACAGATGCTAAGTTAGTGCATATATTAAATGAAAATAGAAAGAGATTTGCTTTCTAACATTCTTAATACAGTAATCACAGGTACTGTCACAGCACAAGGGGAACAGACCAGAAACTTGTCAGGCTTCCATATTCTCCCCTACCAGCATTTCCTATTGCCGCTGACTGAGATTGAATCCTGAGCTTTGGTCTGACCCAGGTCATTCATGTTCTTAAAATTTTAGGAAATTAGCTGCATTTGAAACGTAGCCAAAAGGTATTCCTCTTCCATGGGGAAAAAAACCAAAATAACAAAAACCAACCCAGCTAGTCGCTTTACAGTGATCCAGAACCCTTGAAGTCGCAAATACCAAACAAGAGGCCCTTGTGGTCCCTACCCTGGAAGGTGACATACTCACCTCTAAGCCCACCTCTGCTGAAAGAGAACCTGGCTTAACATTGCTGATAAAAATGCCTGGTTTTTGTGTGGGACCACTGGAAATACTGGTAATATAAAAAAAATATTTTTAGGATGATACTTATAGAATAACACAGTGTAATACAGTGAATAGTTTTAGTTGTTAAATCAAAAATAACTTATGAGAAAAGAATATTTATGGTATTAGCCCACTCTGAAACAAACACCATACCAGTTTATCATACTGCTTTTCTATTTTTTACAGCATAAAACTCTTATTTAAGAAAAAGCTAAAAGGAAAATATTCAAGCTTCTGGATTTTGCCTTAGATGTTGCAACTAACACAGTATACAGACCTACACTGTCTAAGGCACTGGACACCAACAGTATTTGAAAACAAGCAACACAATGAAGAATTACTAATTGCTTGCATGTTAACTCACTGAACTGCAGTATACTCTGTGCATGAAGCCATGTTACTTTTTTAGGATTATTTATTAGAAGCAAGAAGGATGTTTCAACTAGTTGAACATCTAGCTTGGAAACTTTAAGCCACCATTTAAGCTGGGCCTAAACACAGAAACTACTTTTGTAGATTATATATCCAATAAGTGATGTTGAACCACCCTTCCAGGTCTGTAAATAATTTTTAAAAGTCTTTATATCCTCCAGATAACATGAAAGTAAACTCCTGGTAATTTCAACTATATAGTCCTAAACATATAAAAAATCCTATAATATCCTTTCTATCCCAAAACCTCCATAACTAGTGCAAGGATAGGAGTCTGAGAATCAGATAATCATGTTTCTAAAAAAACCTGCAGATTCAACATTAGTTCTGGGAACTAAATATAGCTTTATGGTGGTGTCTTAGTTCTGAACAGGGTCACAGGAAGCAGTCCAGTTCAGGGAGTGAACCTGACAGTGGACAGTCCTGGAACTTGCTATGTCACCAAGCAGCATTTGAAGTATTTAAAAACGTAAAAGCATTTAAAAGATCCAATTCCATGACAGTTTGTATTAGGTCACTTTCAGCTTGCTTGTATTTTTAAATTTTACTTTTTTTTTTTAATATCAGAAATTTTAACACAGGTATTTATGCATTGTCTGAAAATAGGTAATTTGTGCCACAGATATCCTGTTGCTGCAATTTGCCTTTCTGATCCAGCATAGATCCTTAATTTCATGATATCATAGAAACAAAGGATGGAAATAACTGCCTTGAATGTCTCACTTAATAAACCAGTGACATTAAATAACAAATGTGTATGCACCTGCATCCCATGCCTTTTGTACCAATCAAGCTGATGAAGACTTTCTTCTCCTTACTGTCTCTCCCTCCAGAAGAAACAAGTCCAGCCACACTGCCTTTTCCTTCCTATAAAGGAATTAAAAAATGTTGCAGATGTTACCCTGTCTTGAATTCATATCAAGACTACTATAAAATTTCCTGTAGCCAGAACAAAACCCTGCCAACATCAAGATAAGATTCTTCCATGGTCCTATCTTACTGGAAATGAATGTGAAGTAGAGTAATTTCAGTGGATCTGCATGGCTAAGGTGAAAGACTGAACTTATCTGTTTGGAGAAGATTACTTAAATAGTCAAACTTTGTCTTCAGAAAAGGTTGAATGAAAATTAGAGGAAAGTGATAAGGCAAAGTAATCATTTAGCTGTTCCCTGACAATAGGGCTGGAGAAATGCATGATAGCGTTCACTATTTAACTAAGTCTTTCTTCCTGAAAGCTAAACAGTAATTGTAGTGTTTCTTTTCACTGCTGCAACCCTTAGAAGTCACTTGCATTCAAAGTTGTCATTCCTCCACTAATATATCTAATATAGGCAAAATAATCTGATAAAGATTTATACAGGAGAACTACAGCCTGGGAAGTTAATAAGCTCAAGCAAAATAAAGTACCAATTACTGAGTAAAAGCTATTTCATTTGTGTCCTGCCCTTTTCTTACTTAATAGTTCTAGAATAATTTCATATCACAAAAGATGTTTTTCACAGAACACTTGTAACAAGATACTGCATCATAGAAATATAAACAATAGTTTCTCTGATAAGGGTGGAGGAGAAATTGTTTCAGAATCATTACAGATTTCCCAGAAGGAATGTTAATAAAATATTGATCTCTTACCCCAGATTCCGACACAAACTGATCTACATATTGCCATTTAAGGGGTTCATCTGCTGAACTGGAAGGAAAAAGCAATTTAAAATAATGGCACAAATAAATGTCAATGTACTCAAGAAGCTTCTTTTGAATGTGGCCTTCTATTTTGCATCCACAACTTCCTTTAAATACCATTCACAACAACTGGTTTATTTGCTAGCAATTCAAATAAAACATCAAACAAAAATACAATTATTTAAGCTAGTAAATCTGGTCAAAGATAAAATGGATAAAACCTCCTTAAGTGAAACAATTTCAGGAAACTCTAAGAAAGACTGTAAAAACAACCATAACAACTCAAACAGCTTACACAGATGTCTATGCAGACAGACATCTCCCATCAGTAAAATTTCTGAAACTTTCCACTTAAAGATTCAACTTTTCAAAAAAAAAAAAAAAAAAGTGGACAATAATTCTAAACTTTTCTAAACTCTGAAGCAATTCTCAGATGCTACATATGTAAAGAAGCAGTGGAGCTCTCTGTTAAGGCAGGCACATTGATAATTAAATTTCCAGGAAATATCCATGAAAAACGAGGAAATACAAAAGGGTTAAGGAGGCAACTGGCATAAAAAGTCAGATTCATCAAAGAAGACATCTGCCCATTTATTACAAAGAAAGTGAAATTTTAATCATCATTCAAAACATTTTCTTATCCAAAAAACACCAGTTTTTTGGATACAAGAGGCTAAGTGAAAATAAGCAATCTAATCTGTTTTCAAATGAAATACCCTTACCTTTTGACAGGTATCATGCCAACATCTGAAAAAGAAAAATACTCTTAAGTTTCTACAGATAATCAGCAATCTGTTAATAAGAATCAGTAATCTATTAGTAATCTTTGGTGATAGAGGTGATTTTTCATGTTACTTACGTCTTACTTTTATGGACACTATTTTCTTTGTACGAATGAGGTTTATGACTTCTTCATGTGTGCACGATGAAATGGAATATCCGTTTATACGAACTACTTCATCTCCAACCTCAAAAACGAAAGAGGGAAGAAAAAATAATGGTCAATTAATATTTTAAAAGGTTTTCAAGCAACGATACAATCCAGTAATAATTTTGATGCAAAGGTTTGATACTGTTGAGTCCTGAAGACTTTCTGAATTTCAGGTAATGTTCAGATCAGATTTACCTATATTTGTGTGGTCTTGATATTGAACATCAAAAGGCAGATTAGTGGCCAAATAACAATTTAATAAATACTATCTAGTCTCTACACATCAGATTTGTACTCCACAGATTACCTTAAATACAAGTGGCCATGTGTTAATTCAAATAATTTTGGAGTGATTTTTTTCCTTTACACTTCAGCAGTTTAACTTTGTTTTTATTATCTTGTTTTCTGAGGCACCATTTTAACTATTTTTGATCAGCAGGAAACTTTCACTTGGTCTTATTACCTTGCCTGATTCTGGATTCAGATATGTTATTTTAATGGTGTTTACCTCTTTGCCTTTTTGGGGGGCCCACACTAATATTTATCGGCAATCAAACAGCAGCACCCCAAGAACATTCCCTGGCAGTGTTCAATTTACTATGTAGAATAGACAGGGAGGCCAAATTTTATTTATTTATCAGAATACAATCAAAAGGCTTCCCTTCCTGTAGTATAAATCGAAATTTGATATGCTATGATGACTAGACTAGAAATTTCCAAGTTTCTATAAATTCTGCCTAATAAATTCCCTCTCCGCTAGGGAGGCTGAGAAGAAATCAGTGATGGAAACATTGCCCATTCCATTTAAGGATGAGCCTTACGAGCTGTTCAAGATAAGACTGAAAAATGCAGGTCCTGGCTAGACTTTTACTAACAAAGACTTTTACTTAACATGAACCACGTGGCATGGCACTATAAAAACTAATTGGCGCACGACTTCTTCCACTAGGCACCACAAATCAATCCACTGCACAATAAGATATACAAATGATTACTAGGAAACAACTTTAACAAACCACCAACAGTATCTTCTTATACCTCTGTACTTTGATCTCTACAAGGACAAAGTCAAATACTTCGGCTTCGCTGCTCTCTGGTAGCGTTTCCTCTAAACTACTCTGAATATTTGTTATGTAAAATGTATCAAAATGTCATGCTGATAGTTGATGGGACTTTTCTCATTAACATCAACAGCACAGGATTTGGTTTTAATCAATGACACTTTGTGTGCCTCCTCACAAATGTGTCTGTTTTCATGGCAGCATTGATACTAGTTAATCATTGCCTAAAACGTTCCATTTGAAGACTCAGGTTTCAAGCTCCCACATTTCATTTTAGGCTGAAGTCTTCTATGCCGGTATCTGCATCAGGCTGATTTCAAGTTTCATCAAAGCTAAAGCAACTAGTTTTAATCAACAAAATGTGGGTGGAATGCACTGTCATACTTGTTAAAAAGAAATATCTACAATTACTTTGTTGCGAGGCTCTGTGCTTTCACTTTAGGTCTGGAAAAGGTTCTTATGCTACAAATTAAAACCACTATTTTTACAGTCTTAATGAAGACCTTTATTGACTAAAAAGTTTGGAGGAAAAGGCAGGTTCATAACATGCTTGGTGAAAATTAGTAAAGACTGGCTATACTAGTTCTGATGTGGGGAGAACTTCCCCTTCATTCACTGCCAGTGCACCAGTCCCTGGTACCAAGATTAGTTGTGAACATACTTTCAACTGCTGCTGCAGAAGATCAGAAAAGTTGGCTCTTCCAGAATGCCAGAGGCACAGGAGACTCACCAAGAACAGGAAGAAATTAGAAACTTCGTTCAGTCCTAACCACTCAAAAAAACCTGCCGCTGTGCAAACCCCAAAACCCACAATCTGCTTACAGAATGAACTTTACATAAAGAATTCACAAGAGTATTACATTAATTCAATGCATTTGTCAAGACTGTGCCACCTTAGATAAGCCTGGGACCTATTTCTTGTAATATAAGTTTTGTTTTATTTCTTTTGAGTCAGATACTTCTAGTCCAACTTTACTGTCACTGAAACGACAGAGGTAATGGCACCATTCTTAGTGGTCTACTGTGTCTGAGCAGACTAAATAACACAGTGTATCCACTGTTTTCTCCAGCACACAAGGCTGATGGGAGTATCTGGGACTGAAAAAATTGAAGCCACAGTTTAGGTCACTGAGGACTAGCTTCCCTGTACCTTAGTAACAGTTTTAGGAAAAAGAAAAAGGCCATAGCTGGGGATTCCTGCTTTGGCACTGCACAGCTCAGTGCTGAAGGCCTAAATTTGCATCACCACACTTATGTGAGAGGAAGGAGTGGAACTGGGAGTAGGAATTCCTCAACATAGTCTGTGTCTTAGAGACTGTCACATTAACACACACTGTGACAGGTTTACCCTTGTGTGACGGGACACTGGGCCATGACCTTCTGCCTTTTTTCATATGTAATAAGTGCTACTGAATCTTCCTATTGTGATCTGTTCAACTGAAAAAACACCCACAAACAAAAGAAGAAACTACCCACTTATCTTCTTTAGTTGTTTCACAAGCTTTTGTAATTCTTCTGAGAAGTGCCACATGCTCTGCAATATTACACAAAACATTAACAGCACATCCAATCTACCATCATAGCTCATGTAGCACATTTTCCACTGAAGATGACAATTTTTATCTGACACAATAGAGCATCAGAAGGCTATAAAAGCGCAGAAAACACAGTATGTGACTGTGCTGCAGAAGAAAACTCACTTGCAGGGGCAAAACACGAGGACTGTTGTCTCCAGCCCCTGACCAGTGGGACATCCACTCCCTCTGCTGGGCATCCAAAAAAATCTCATCCAGGGCAATGGCCTGCATTCTCAAGAGCTTGAAAGTTTTTAAGCCAGTCAGATTTTTAAAATTATCTTTAATAAGAGCAGAAAGTGGTCAGTACTGAAGGGTTTTGAACACGCAACCTGTGGTAGAAATGCAGAATCTGACAAGGAAAAGCACATGGGATCTGCAGTCTAGAGTTGCACAGCTGATAGCTCTCACCATGAAAGAACACTCCCCTAACCAGCTCATTCCAAACGTTCCAAACTCTATCCATCCATCCATCCATTCATCCCACAGGCCTGTTAGCCATGCAATTGCAGTCCTCTTTTTTGTGAAAATACACCACCAAATTCTAAGCTAGTTCCTCACCCCAAAACCAAGAAGGTTTATCTGGAACAGGCTCCCCAGGGGACGAGAAGCATTTGGACAACACCCTCGGGAACGTGGTGTGATTCTTGAGGCTGTCATGTGCAGGGTCAGGAATCAGACTTCAATGATCCATGCGGGTCTCTTCAAAGTTAGGATGTTCTACAAATCTAAAAATTTACTCTAGTGCTGTTTCACTGCCCTTGAAACTTAGAAAACTCATTGTGAATAACATGCTTTTAGGACTGGGATTAGAACTGGAAGCAAAATTGCCCAGGGATAAGTCAGACTTGTGGTACTGTGTATAAAGACTTACAAAGACTCTACAAACCATAAAGACTCTCGGTCTATTTAGAATCCTGCTGGCTATATTAGTAGGAAAGCAAGTGACCTTTGCTTTTCAAAGGAAGGTAGAGTTCCTTGGTACCAAAATGCTCAAAATGCTTTCTCCATTCCTGTCTTTGGCATCTCTCTGGATTACTCAGTTGAAAAAGTACTGGAAGTTTGTGTATAACTTTTCTCTTGATCTTATGTGTTGGGGGAAGGGGTGCTTTTTGCTTGGGTTTTGTTTAGTTCAAGATCCCTCATTTACTCACATCTTCCACATCGTGCAGGCTATAACCGACCATGGAGTCTGGGTTAGCACAAGCCCAACTCTTTAAACGGGTAACCTATCTTACTGTTTTTAACTGCAATGCCTTAACACACAGAAGCACCCCAGTTTCAGGACTGCAAATGTCAGGGCCATCATGGGGCTTCTGGATCAGCATTGCTCTGAGGATCATCATTCACTAAGCAAACCATATCTGTTAACATTGTATCATCTCCCTAAAAGGCACCACAAGAGTGTATTTTCTTTTTCCATCCAGTATGGGAACACGCTTTTCCCATACAGATATTTTTAATGCTCCTCTTTAATAGACTGTCATTTAATTTCTGAAACTCAGCCCTCTTCATTCAACCTAATGACATTTGTATTATTGACTGGCAATGACTGAGGGTGCTTTAGAAATAACCCAACCTAGGCTGAACTACAGGAGATGTACAGGCACATAACAAACTGCTTCTCTTTAGGACACTTGGACAGCTTCCCCTGAACAAAGTTGTCCAATACTGGGGTAATAAATAGTAGTTTTCATATATTTCATTACTTTTGTACGGGCATACCAACCTAATGAATCTGAAGCAGTAGAGACAAAAGTCTGCAGGATTGAGTAGAGTAGAACATTAACAATTACTTTAGTATTATATATCACAGTTTCCCCTTTCCCTATTAAACAGGGAGATGACAGAATTTTCAGAAAAAAAGATGCAAACCTAATGTTTCCCAAGCAAAATGTCTATTATTTGCAGCTTCTAACATAAGAAATACAATATACAGTGCTTCTAGGAAATGGAAAGGTTTATATAATGATATCAACTGTTTCAAATTTCACATTTTGTATACTTCTACCACTTCCATTATTCATACCAATCTCCATCTCTTTGTATTCAGCAGAATCCCCACACACATAAGTATCGGAAAGCAGTGGGGGGTGGGGAGATGAAGTACACTTCTTCATGAAAGAACAAAACATAGCCTTTTAGAGAAACTGTAGTCAAAAAAGGGTCAAAACTACAAGTGTCACAGTGAGCCTCCATGATTATTCAGTCATTTTGATGCAACTTGGAAAGTACTTTAAGGAGAAATCATGCAAAGTTAACTGGATTTTTTTTAAAGCAGCAGGATGTAAAACTGATGGTATGATAAAAGATCATTATACCTTTCTCAGACAGCATTTTTGGGACAGAAAATGCGTAGAGATTTAGTTAAATAAAGCAGGTAGGTGAAATTTCAGAAGCAGTTGGCTTTACTGTGAGACAGCAATTTAGAACAATGGGCTGCCTGTCAGGTCTTGTTATTCAGTGAGGTTCAGAAAGTGCCTAGTGCCACCTATTATTCAGGCACTTTAGGCTGAGCTTTAACACCACATATCAAAAAACAGAAGTCAAGCTGCAAAGCAGGAGCTGCAAAGCACCTTCTGCTCATATTAATTCATACAATCTAAGACTAACAAATTCACAGTCTTAAGTATATTTTCCCCTTATTGTCCCTACTATGTCTGCCAAACTCTAACCCCATTCTGAGTTGCAATACAATTTGTACAGCCCAGCCCCAAGATCCTTTACAATCCCATTCATTGACACTAACATGTAGTGCAGTGACCTCAGTCACAGCCTTTTTTTGTAATGAAAAAACAAGAAAGGTGACATCCTTACAGTAACACAACAACTGAGCATAACTCTTTATCTAGTGGTGATGTCAAAATATTAATCTGCAACAAGCTGAGAAGCAGAGCTGCAAAACAGTATTAAGATGTACATATTAGCATGAGAATTTAAGACAGTGGCTATTAAGTCTTCTATTGCTCAGCATCATTAATGCCTTCCAGTATTTTCCAGGAGATGTTTTCAAAAGCCATATAAGCAACTGGTCTTTTCTTTTTCTCAGTTTTCTAGAATGGAGGAAAGATGCAGCTGGAATATCTCTGATGAGCTAACCACAACCCAGGAACAACTCCTGTCTACGCTTCCCATTCTCAATGTCTAACACAGTAGATGAGGTACATGAATCAGTGCAGTGCAAACTCTGAGATGGTACATTAATGTCCTTTTCTGGAGTTATCAACTGGTAAATCTCAGGCTTAAAAGCAGGCTGACAACACATACAGTAAAGTGTTTGTGGTGTCCTAATTCACCCTCTCAGTTCTAACTACATACAGAATTTACGGTTTTGTTCTACAAAGGAGTTTCTAAAGCACCCAGGGAGACAGTCATGCATCAGTCTAGAGGAGATTGACAGAAAATGAGACTAATTCAATGGTGATCCTAAAAATCTGATATACAGCTATGAACGCACAAGCAAAAGGGCACATTCATGCATTTAAACAGAGAGAGGAACAGTTATTTATATTTCAGAAAGCTCTCAGCATGAGTTACACAAACATGGAATCCTAACTTAACTGTCTTGTTGACAGAGATTTATTTTTATTAATTTTTTTAATGTAGGGGAGTCATGGTGTAATGCTGAAGCACATCTACAAAAAACATAAGTTCAATCAAAAACTGTAATGAGTCATGCCAGCCTAATATATTTTGTACTAGTATTAAACATAATCCTTAACCATCCATACTTTCAGCAAATATTCAGACTCGACAAATTAAAATTAGCCTTTTCACTGAAACTCAGACCTTTAATACACCTTATCCGATCCAAAGGCATAGAGAGATGCAGATACCTGCCATAGCAATTGCTCACTTCTCTCTTCACTAAGCAATACCACACTCAAAAATAAACCAAACACTCAAAACTCCATTAATGCAAATTGCATAAGGGTTGATTTAAAAAAAAAAAAAAAAAAGTGTTTCTATACATAATTACTTTTGCCACCCTTGTTGGCAAGTTCATGTATCTAAAATCTAATCACAAAATCTCCAATTCTATGCAGTACAGAGGACACTGGAAACAGTTAAAAATAGGATCTTCCTTTAATTGCATAAACTGAAATCTCCACAATGTATACATGAAGTTCAAATAAACATTCCATTACAGAAATTATATCTGTGCAAAGTGGAATTAACACTTTTAGTATTTATAAGGTCCATTCTACATTTAATCAGAATGTGGGGACTTAAAACATTCTTACAGAGCCTATAGATCTTTTTTTCTATCTTCTTACATTAAGCTGTTGCTAGTCATGAAGTACTAACATTACAGAAAAATCTTTACTCTTCAAAAATTATCATATCCCAAATAAGGAAAAAAAAAGTGTACATATTAAAAATGGTGACATGAACAGTTTTACCACTTGTATAACGGTATTGGTTATGGCTATGCATGACTTACAGATCGTAGGGATTTTATTAGAAGAAACAAAGAGCACCTTAGCAATGGTAACTTCCAAATGTTAAAGAACCTTAGTGCCTAGTATTACATGAATGTAATTCTCTTACCTGAAGTCCAGCACTGTCTGCCTGTCCTCCTTTAACTAACTGGGAGATGAAGAGGCCACAGCCAAATTCCAGTCCACCTCTCACACTTATTCCAAGCCCTTCAGGATTCAAACGATCCAATCTCACCTCTTTCAGCTTTCTGCAAAAACGGAAGACACTTGACTGTTCAGCTGCATAACACCTTGTGGCAATAATGTTTCATATCGAAGTTAGACATTATTTTTCCTCCTACATGATTTAGGCACTCAAAAAAGCAAGTTGACTGAAGTTTGGATGGATGTGTGTTAACTAAAGCCATCAAGTGTTATTCATATGAAAAGACATCTGCAACCACTGAACGTGTCTGCTTCCAGAGGGCTAGAGCTATGAGAATTTTTTTATTACTAAATGCAGGAAAAATGAGAAAATTTTTTTTTTTTTTTTACTCCTCTATCCTGTTTTTACTAGATTAAAGTAGGTGGCAAACAATTTCAGGTAGCTTCAGTACTTCTAGCAAATATAGCAAAAAGTAAAATAACTATGCCCAGTTAGCTGCATTATTCTGCATTCTCTTACCGTGATCGTTTGGGTGTCAGCTGATCATATTCCACCTGGTGTTTTAACGGGATAAGTGGGCGGATGGCATCAAACAGAGGCAATCTGCTTGGCTCATTAATCACAAGTTTTAGGTCCCCCACGAGCACTGGAAGATTCATAGATCTGCAAAAACATGGTGAGAAAACAAGCACAGGTAATCAACACAAAGCATCGTTTTATAAGTTACTGTACGTGTGGCTTCAATATTTGCATGTCCTTGCAAGCTACTCAAAAAGTTATTTATGCAGATATTGGTTTAACCAAAGCAAAACCGTCTCTCAGAAGGCAAGCCTTCTGTAAGTAAAGAAGAATAACAACTACTTGCTCCAAAATAACTGAAGTCTTGTATACATTGACTTTATCTTTTAAGATCATGCACATCACATTTATAGATGGCATCCTTAATTTCATTCTCAGAGTCCTCACAAGAGTTATGGAACTGTTCAGAAATGACTTTCCAGATTAGACATACCTGCCTACTAGATTTTTTTTTTTCCTTACCAGTTAGGAATCCTTGTAAATAAATCTAGGCTACAAGCTCCTTCTTTCTTGAACTTAGGGGACTGAAAAATTGTTTCAATCCAGGAAAAAAAAAAAAATCACAGTACTCAATTGCTAGAGCAAAGACTTGGCTTAAATTTTGATTCTTTTTCTCCAAATCAAATGTGAAGGACGATCAACCAATAAAGAAAACCTATTGATAACTGTCAGCACTGTGATAGTTATATATCTACAAAATATACTTTGTTTTTCAGCTGCAAGAGGTGGAGGAACAGCTCCCTAAGGTTCAGTGGAGTTACTGGAGTTAATCGAATACCCAGTTAAACTTACTCTGTATTATTTGCTGTTTCCTTTCTTATAATTTACATTCCCTGGCATACAGTATTATTACAGATTAGAGATCAAATACTTCTGGAAATGGTATTCATAGTGAAGAAGACATTAAGCCTTCGACAGTAACTGTATGTTTTTTTTCCCTGGATTATCTCACCATGTATTCCCAAAAAGTGATATATCATGAACATACATTAACAGACATATTGAAAGTTTTGCCCAAGTCATTGCAATTTTGGAAATTAAAGTTGCTGTATGCATTGTTAATTTTGTAACTGCAAGAAGATTTTAAATAATTCAGAGCTACTGGATCAATCGGCTTTCCAAACAACAGTCTTTATGAATGGAAAAGCAATTAGACAGACCTGAGTGAAACTGAATCAGATATGCAGCTGAATACCCCCATAACTATAGCTCAGGGCAAACATCAGATGGAAACGGCTACATTTCACTCAGCTGAGATGCTATTAATTACGATATGAATGGAAACAGTGTCTATCGGAGCCACTTCTCTGTGATGAGTGGAAAATACATTCTCATCTTCTTGGAAAAACAAGGGATCAGAGGCTGATGTCATTTGCAATGATACAAGCCCAAAGCAACTGTGGTTTAAATCAGATCAGCAAAAGGATTGATAATAGGCTTATCACCTTACCAATTTTTTACCATTGTGTTGTAATAAGCCAGAGTCATTAAACATGATAAGCAGAGTCCAAGACTAAATTTTTTCAGCTTTCTGAAAAATAGCTGCAACTTTTTTATCTGGATACTTAGCAAAAATTACTGCAAAGCAACGTCAATGAAAATCTCTGTAGCAAATAGATAAGCGTTATTTGGAAATATTAAGGAATTAGATTAATGCTCTCTTCCTGTTTCCTAAGAACAGTTTTATCATCCAGGTGCTTCCCCTCCCACACTACCCAAATATGAATCCACCAAATTCTTTTACAAAACTACCAAGTTAAAAAACCAAAGTAACTGTATAGGTGATTACAAACTTCCTCCTTGCTTGCCTACAGGTTATTCTGTGAAAACACAAGATGTCATTAAACAGGATAAAAAGTATTACTTCAACTAAATTTTTAGCAGCATATAGAAGAAAATTTAAAATCTTGAATATTCACTCTTTAAATTTAAAAATATTAGTAAAATTCAACACAAACACATATAAAGCTAGATCTTACTGGTGGTACATCCGCAGCACATCATAAAGATAATCCTTCTCCGCTTCATTGTCAATTAATAGATTAACCTGAAAACCCAAAGACATTATCATAAATCTCTGACTAAATAGCCACACATGTTAAGCATAAGAGAGTTTAACAGATTCTTAAGCCACAGAGCAAGATTTAATCAAGGAAAGGCTTTAAGATTAATTTTAAAGATAAACATCTTTTTGCAACAGACCCTACAAAGTCGCACAACGACAACTGGACAAGGTGGCAAATGCTGATATATATCTATGTGGCAGTAGTATTATTACAATAATATAATATTAGTCTTACCTGATAATCACTGTACTGCTGAATAAATGTCTTCAGAAACCTTTTTGGCCATTCATTAATGTAGCACATGCTGTCACAGATAAAACCACTATACTGATATAATCTATGTTCTGTTGTCCAAACCACCAGTTTCAGGATCTCACTTATAACATTATGCAAACTGCTACATCTCTGTTCCTCTTTGCTCCAGCTCTTACCTGATAGAACTTGCTAGTTATTCTTTCCTCCCCCACCAATAGTACATTCACTTAAACCAGTGTCATGTTACTGTGCCTGCTCTTGGATAATTACAGTAAATTAAAGCAAAAAAACCACCCCAAACCTCTTATATGAGGAGTTCAATTTATATCCAGTGATAGTGAGACCCCCACTAATCTTACGTGCAGTGAGAGGTCACATCACATTAGTTTTACATCTGAAGAAGCTTGATGTTTAGGAAAACAATTTACATCTGACCTAAAGGCTAATATTACTGTGACGTGAAGACTGAGGAGCAATTTGCATACTTAAAGAAAGGCACTTTCTTTCTAGGTTTGCAATGGTTTGCATTATGTTCTAAACTCAGTACATGCTTCACATTCCTTTTGTCCCACTTGGCTCTCTGAAGCCAGCAAGACTTCACATACAGGTGGTTTTTTGTTTCTTGTCTCCTCTGGAAAAAAACATTTTCAAAACACCTAAAGGCCAGAAGTCTACATGCAGGTCAACATTGCTTGACAGTAATATTAGTGAGCAAGCCAATTTATTCACAGTGAATTTCAAAGCACAGAGGATAAAGTTTGCCATAAAAGGAAATAAAACAGTTGCGATCAAAACGGACTGGGCTACGATATTGTACACGGACTCAAGGAGGGGTGATACATGTAAAACTAAGTCCAGCACCCATTTTTCACTTCCCCAACAGGAAAAATATAACAAAGTCAGTTTTGGCTCTGGTATACAGAACTGAATTTCCAGTGCTAGCTAAGGTGCTTTAAGAGCAGTGTCTCATGAAGAACATTAAATGTTCAAGCACATGGACCCTGCACAGCTAAGGGCAAAACCATCACCATATCTTCTCCTGACAGGGAAAGCAAGAAGTAACAACATTCCATTTGCCTCCTGATATGCTAATTGATGGACACATCCCCACTCCCTCTCCAGAAATGACGGGCCGTGTCTAAATTCTGCCATTTCTTCTGACAAAATATTCAGTCTTCCTGCACTTCTCACCCTGAACCAGCAACTTCCTCATCCTCTGGACAAAAACAAACCCGCAAACGACTTCTTATATATTCAGAATGCTACAGCTGGGTTAACCCTTCTGGGCTGTCTCTCCAAATGGGTCATTCTTCTCCTGTTGCCTTCTATTCCACCATCACTGCATTGTAGTCACCTGCATCTCTTACCATTTCCCGATCCTTAAATTCCTTGGGATAGAGGCTTACTGTAGACATATGCTTTACCTAGGCTTATCATCAGCTTCTAAAACCTGACTCAAATTTCATAAATCCTATAAAAATCATAGGCCCCATCTTAAAAACAAACAAACAAACAAACAACAAAAAACCCCAACAAAAAAAACAAGAACAAAATAAAATCAGTGGTGATATAGTGTGCCTGGGATCACAGAAATATTTTAGTATATCTCTGTTTCTGAAGAAAATAACTGTGGAGGCATGGGATAGATATTTTCACACCTTTTTAACAAGGATATTTAAAAAAAACACTTATCTGGACAAAGCCCTGGACAATCTGCTCTTGGTGGCTGTGTTTGAGCATGAGGGTTGGAGCACATGACCTCCAGAGGTCCCTTCCAACCTCAACCTTTCTCTTTTATTTAAATAGTCCTCACTGTAGTAGAATTATTTACAATCCTAGAGCATAAATAGTTGCTGATGCACTACTACAGGAATTGCATTGTTTCTAATAATTTCTAATTCTTCTAATAAGAAGTCTTCACAAAACCTGCACTTACATGCAAAAGAAAAATTAAATCTTAACAAGTCTACACAAGTTTATTCAATAGAATAGAAGCTGTGGGGAGGAAAAAGCACTTTTTGGTGTGGAACAAGTTCAGATGACATAATATATATATAATGCACTACTGTAGAACAAGCCCAATCTGTAAGCTTTCAAAGAATAATATACATTTCTATTTAAGCCACACAGACACTGAGAAACTATTGAAGGAAAGGGAAGAGCTGGTCAGTATATTTGGATATATTACATACTCTACACTGCTACTTGGTTGATATGGAAAACTGATTAAAATTGCTAAGAAAAAGAAAAAAAGAAAGTGAAAAATAATTGAGGAAACTCAGATCCTATGGCAGAGCATTTTTAATGGTTTGTCACAGAAAAAGCAAGCATTCAAGCCTTTGGATGTCACAGAGGCCACTAGAAGCAGGATGATACAAAATAATTTAAAGAAAAGACCTGTTACAGGATCCTCTATCTCAGATAAATTTTTCACTTATATCTGAATCCTACCTGTTTGAACTAACACTGATGATACATCTTACGTTATTGGGGTGGGACTTGAATGATTTATGAATTATAGCAGTAATGAAAGGGAAAAGGTTTAAAGTTCAAGCTGGTAACCATCCGCCTAGAAAACAGAGTCTTTATAGATAAGCTGCACAACTCACTGCTGAGTTATACAGTAATAGGTAGCAAGAAATAATGTGCTAGATGGCTACAGTCCTTTTTGTATTCCCTCTACTTCATCCTAACAATCCCTTAGTTAATGGGTTTGTTACTAAGTGACAGATACTTCTATATAACATCACATTACTTTGAAGAAATTGTGTTTTCTAGCTGACTAAAAAAACCCTGAAACAGAAAACGAAATCAACAAAAACCTCCTCCACAAAAACAGGCAAATAAACAACCCCTCCAAAAAAAACAAACAAAACCCGCCCAAACCCCCAAAGCAGTACTGAAAATTTTAATTTAGGACAGAATCCTAAATAGCTTCGCAAAAAAACATCTCTTAAACACGTAAACTATTTTCCTCCTCGTTTCCTTAATTAGAGCTTTTTTGAGCTTCCTTTGCTCATACAATTTTGCGCTCTGCCGAGCACTTATTTAACTGGGTGAATGACAAAATGACGTGCCAGGCAGACCGAGTCGCTCCATGTATCAAGTGCATTTACACATGACTGCACAGGCATAATTGCACCGGGGAATGTTAAGGTGGAACTGGGTGCTCGCAGGGCTGGGATGGGCACTGCCAGCGCCTGGACTTCAGCACCTGCGCTGCTGCCTTGCCCTGAGCTGGACCGGGCGCGGCGTGGTATTAACATAACACAAATTCTATCGAGCCCCGGAAAAGCTCATGCACTGGGGAATATTCTCCTTTTCTCTCCCTTTCTAAGGATTTTAATCATCCTCTCACAGGCGGCTGCCGCCCGCTTTTCCGCGCAAAGTCCCCCGCGCTTCTCCCTTCTCCCTCCGGCAGCGCCGCCAGCCCGCCCCGCTGCCGGGAGCCGTGCCCGGGCCAGGGGGGCTGCTCTTCCCGCAGCCTCTGCTGGCCCGGGGAGGCGACCCCGGCTGTCTCCGCTGCCTTACCTTGTGGCGGAACTCTCGGGCCACCCTGCGCTCCATCGTGCGCGGGTGCGGGCGGGGCGCGGGGCGGTGGCGCCGGCGAGGCCGCGCCCCGGGGCGGTGGGAGGGACGCGCTCCCGCCGCCGCCTCCCGCATCCCTCATCCCCGGCCTCGCTGCTCCGGGGGTACCGTAACCTGCCTACCACCCCCGGCTGGGGCTGCTTGCGGCCAAAACGACGGAGAAAGTAAAATTAAAAGAAAAAAACCAACAACACACGTACACGCACCCCCGAGGGGCGCGTTACCTGCTCTTTTCCCTGGGATGGTTTTTACAACCGGTGCTTCTCGTATGGCTCTGCATTGGAGTCCCCAATCCAGACTTGTCTCTTGTGCTTATAGGTATGTACGTATGTCACTAACCATAGTAGTTAAGAAAAGCACGAAGATGTGAAATTTAAAGCGTATTAACACCTTGAAACAAACAAAAAACCCCAACCAACCATAAAACCAAAACCAACCAACCAAACGAAAAACACCAAAACCCAAATAAAACCCAAACACAAACAAACAGAAAAATCTGCTTCAATAAATGACCATACTGTAAATAACCTCAACTTTTTTTATTATCTTTTTATTATTATTATTTTTAAAACATAAACAGGGTGAATCTGATGTACCACTGTCTGATTTCCACCAACCTTTCCTGCTAATGGTATATTGTTGCTTACAAATAGAGCTTCTGACATGGCCACTGTGAGTAACCGCAGAAGAATCAAGCTCGGAGCACCTGAAAAGGTGCCTATTTCAGACTAATCTCAATTATGTTATATTACCTTGGGCTTATTCTACCGCTGTACAAAATTATAGACTTCTGCAATCAGGATTGGAAGCAAGATGAGGACACCTGCTAACCTATGTCCCTTTGTCTCCCTCCAGAATCACCTTTACCCACATAACTTACGAGAGACAGGGTTTGATTAATCACGGGTGGTTTACCTGCTCCTCCCTCCAGCAGAGTGGAAACTTGTATGAATACATTTAAAGTCATGATAATCTCCCACATACACTGGATTCCCACATAAACTGGATTCTGTTTTATTATTCCTGTGTGATAATTTTCGTAAGCTATACCAGCTTCTTTGAAAATTGCTCTTACCCCTTTTCAGAAGATGATTTTGCTGTATTGGAACGTTTCATACTTGATGGACACTACTTCTTTCTCATATCAGGTGTCAGGAATAAGAGAGGAATGCATTTTAAGCCTGTATACAAAAAAATGCAATTGTTTTCAGAAAATAATTTTCTCTCAAAATTGTAACTACTAGTGCATGAATCATGTCTTCTACCTGAGTTCCAGTACCAAATCATATCAAAAAGCTATTCTATCCAAGCGTTGAACACACTACTATAGGACTTCTTCCCTGCATATGCAAAGCAAAATTGTCTTATATTTCACAAGAGAAAGAAGGAGACACAAGAAATTGAAAAGACACATTAAAAACAGTGCATGTTGCCTTTAAACTTTTGCATACCCTGTAACAGTCATGGTATCTACCAATTGTTTCTAGAAGACTTTACAGGAATAGGTCTTTCACAAGCTTGAAATTATGTACATTTGAAAGAAAGCAACTGGATTTTATAATACAGATGAATTTTTCAAGAGTCAGAAATTCCTCCATGTAGTAAACAATTGTGGAATAATCTTCACTTGGTAATGTGAAAGCTGCTCTGAATCCTCGTGTGAAGGACCCAGCACAGAAAGGATGACAAACATGACTGGCTGTTGGTCTGCTCTTACATGAATTCCTGTGTTACTGTACATAAATACAAAGCAAACAAATCCCCAAATCTATCCCATGCTCCAAAACTGGAAGTTTGATAATCAGTAAATTTAAAACATGGCTCTGAACTCTTCATTACTTCAAATACATAATATTAAAAGATGGTAAAATTATGACTGTTTATTATTTTTAGATAATGAAAGCTTTCCTAAGAAGAAATCAAATTGCATCTAAATTGGCTTTAAACTAGTTTCAATTCTTGTTTGCTACTTGTGACATTAAGGGAAAAGGAATAAAAGGAGCAGCCCATTTAGTAGGCAAGGAAATACATTAAAGTGTGCCTTGTGTAACCTGATTCCTGTTGCTTTTTATCTACTTTCTCTACTTCGTTAATGTAACATGGATCAGAGAAAGTACACCACAGCCTCATGCTGCACTTAAGACTGACTTTGCTGCAGGCAGAGGATAGCACACAGTTCTAGAAATCTATTTGCGGTTACTGGGAAGAGGCTATGTTAAAGAATATCTTTTATTTCTCGCTTGCTTTTCTCTCATAGACATTTTCCCTCCAATGCTTACAGGAGAAAACAGAATTCTCAGTGAAAATATTATTAGTTTTCCATCATTTCATTAGAAATGAAACACTTGTTGCAGCAAGAAACACAATCCACAGGGACAAATTACAAAGGCAGAAAAGAGATCTTTTTAATGACTTACTGTTAACAGACTTCTCAAAGCAGTCAAAAAAGGCCCCTTTTCATCTGAGACAGTTTCTCACCTGGTATGGGCAGCTTCTAAAGCTTCTGACATAAGATATGCAGACCTGAAGAATGATGGGGAGAGAGACAGTAGCAGATGGGAAAGGGAAAAGAACAGAGAAATGGTAACAGTGATAGGAAGAGGGAAGAGAAAACAAAGAAACATAACGCAAAGAAGCAAATTTATCCATAAGGAAAGAAAGAAAAAAAAAAAAAAGCGAAAAAAGCTATGGAAACCATGCATACATGTTAGCTTCATGCTGCATTCAGTTCATGTCTTACTCCTGCCTTTCATTACTTTAATCTTGACACCTGTTTCAGTGGGTCGGGGCCAATGCTCCCTGCTGAGCACGGACAGCCTTGCCGTTTCCCAGCGGGAGCAGGCGGTTCCCCGCGGGCTCGCCGCGCTCGGTCCGTGCGAGTTCCCAGGAGCTCCGGGAGCAGCCCCGGCTCCTCTCGCCTTAGGGTGAGGCGCAGCCTTATACTGCATCCCACCGCGGGTGTCCTGTCTCCTGCTCAGAGCCCGGGACACGAATCGCTTTCTGAATCGTAGGATCAACCGGGTTGGAAAAGACCTCCGAGATCATCAAGTCCAAGCCTTGATCCAACACCGCAGTGGTTACTAGACCATGCCACTAAGTGCCACATCGAGTCTCATCTAGTGAATCCATCACCTCCCTGGGCAGCCCATTCCAATGACTGATTACTCTCTCTGTAAAAAATTCTTCCTAATATCGAACCAAAACCTCCCCTGGCAGAGAAGCCCAGAAGGGCGGAAAAGTGTAAATAAACTCGAGGAGGCGGTGAGGTCGGCGGCGGTAAGGGCGGGCAGGAGAAGGGAGAAGAGATAGCAGGGCCGCTGGGCAGCAGGGATGCAGAGCCGGCCCGGGGCTGTACAGCGAGGGGCGGTGTCCGGGGTGGGCGCTGGGGAAGGGCAGGGCCAGGGGGTGGAGGGCGGGCGGCTGATAAACTCCCAGTCCGCCCCGCCCGTGAGGGCGGGATGAGCCCAAGGCGCAGGTAGCGGCCGGAGCTCCGCGGGAAGCCGCAGCTGCTCTCCAGCCTTCCCGCATGGAGACCCGGCTCCTGCTCGGGGCGCTGCTGTGCGCCTGGCTGCCGTCGGGTGAGCTCCTGCCGGGTAGGGCGCGGGGATGGGAGAGCGGACAGGGCAGTCCTGGCCATCGCTAACCTGCCACCTTTGCCCTCCAGCCTTGTCTCCGTTTGGCGCCTGGGCGCAGCTCCCTGCCGACGGGGATGTGCCGCTCCGCAGGTAAGAGCCGACCGGGGCACGGCGGGGCTCCTTCCCCGCCGCGGTGATGCGCGGCGGGAGGGCCGGGCCGAACCAGCTCTGCCTTGTTCTCTGCCCGCAGCCGAGACAGCGCCGGGGGACCTCGGACGGGAGAGGGCCTCGCCGCGGCCATGCAGGTATGGGGGCAGAGCAGGGCGCTGTGATGGAGCGGCGGGCGGGCTCGACGGGGCCGGGAGCTGCGGCACCTCCTCGGAGGGACTGGGATGTGCAGCTGGGATGTGCAGCTTCCCTCAGGAGCCCCGTGAGGAGAGCATCGACCCCGATGCGACCAGGGCTGATGTGGTGATGCGGTGCCGTCGCTCGTGGCCATAGCTGGTGGCAGGTTTCCCAGCGAGAACTTTCTGAGGGGGCAGATGGCACCGGGTCGAGGGATGGGCATGCTGGTTGTTATCAGGATAATGTGCTTCTCAAATCTTACTTGAATATGTCTGCACGTTACTGTGATACCATTGATATATCTGGTGGCTGTTCTACCCTCTGTAATTCTTAGAGACTTGTCCTCAAACGTGTATTTTATCCCAGCCACGAGAAGTGTCACTTATGAATGAAAGAAAACTTGGGGTTTAAAGTGTTTAAGTGGTGAGTGAAGACTATATGGTTGTATCTACAGCTTCAGCTCTTTCAGAAAGCTGTTTGTTGTATGAAGCATCCTTGCTCGAGGGAAAGCTGAGGTCTGGTCTGGCTCATCCAGCAACAATTGCTTTGTGGGAGCCTTTTTGCTTCTCAGTAAAAGTAAGCGAGCTGGCAGTATCAGATCACGACAGCTCAGCACTCGGGTTTTTGGATGTGGTTTATCTTGGCAACTCGACTATATCACTCATGGCACGTTGCTGAAATGTAATTAGGGTGTGTGGTTCCTGCTCCCTTGTTTGAGGGTGGGAAAAGGAAAGTTTGCTTTGTTGTCCTTGTTAGTGGCTCTAGAGAGGAGTTGTCTTTCTTTCTGCTTTCTTCCTTCTCTTTCTGGGAAAAGCTCAGCAAAGAAAAAAATGTCTCATAATTGCAAACAGGTAATGAAATGAACCACCAGTAAAAGCAAATGCTCATAGATTGAGGTTCTCCCCATAAGAATTCAAGAATTACTAATAGACTCTTTGTTTCCTTCTGTGTTAGCCTACTGAGCAGGAATCTTCAGAAAGAAATATGTTTAGGAGGCTGGAAAAAGAAAAAAGAACTACTGCACTCGAGTGACTGTACTTTTTAATTTACAATGGATTTTTTTGCTAATGTTGTAGTGAGCCAGTATGAAGCAATGAGCTTAGTAAAAAAGGTACTGATAGACTCTGAAGACATTTTTAAATGTCTGGTTATAGCTGCTGATTTATTTGTTCTTTCTGAAAGGAGTCTGGAATGGCAATTTATAACACCTCATCTACTACCATGTCCTTATCTCGGAACAGGAGACTTCACAGTCTGAAATGTGGACCATCCAGTAAGTTATTTATGTTTCCACATGAAATCTCTTGAACTTTATTTTCTGCATAATTTAATTATTTTTTTAAAAGAAAAAACCCTAAAATAATTAATACAGGTCTTTGTGGTAAAGGGACTCTGCTTTGATTGACCTCTAAGATCCACAAGAGTGGGACAATTTGTTGGGGTGTTTAAGGTAGCTTTAAGTTTACACCTGATTCTGGTTTGATCATTTGAAAGACTGTCTTTAACTGCAGTTTTTCTAATAAAAAGCTTTTACTAGGGAAATCTGCTCCTGTAGTGATATTCCTAAATAGGTGGATTGCTACTAGGTGCTATGATGTGCCTAGCCTGTCCTGTGCTTGGAGGCTTTTTGTTTGCTGTGTGTTTGCTGACGTGATCTATGGATGTTCTTTGTGTTTATAATCTATGGATTAGCACGATGGGGTACTTTAGCCAGCAGCTCGCAGGGGTGGGTATTTTCTTGAAGAATGTGTGTGTTGGTTTTTTGCTTCATTTTATTTTCACAAGGGAAGTGAACAGGTTTAAAATATCTTTGCTGAAGGGTAAATATTCTTTTAAAGTGTCAACTTTACAGAAAGGTCCATGTCACACTTGTTCTGTACAAAGGAGAAGTACGAGGCAAAATAATTCATAGTAATTTCAGTTAGTGATGCAAAACCTCTAGTGTCTCTTCAGTTAACCTGATGGATTGCACTGGATGTGGGACCTACCTGATAGTGAATAGTGTGGATTTGCACTCTGTAGCTTTATAGCACAAAAGGCAAGAGGTGTGGAATGGACTCATCAGTTGTGATTAGAGTTGTGTCGTCTCCAAAACCTTGTAATGTCTTTAATATACAGTGTTTTCAGAGGCTTTTGAGAAGTGTGGAGGAATAGTGCAAGAGTTTAGAGAAACATAATATTGCTCAAATAAGAACTATTACCTATGAACCTCTCTCCAATATATGAAAAAAATCATATATATTGTGTACGATAAATTTGCTTTACAAATATAGCACTCTATACTTGTAAAACTCCCTCTCTTTTTGAGGGTTGCACTGACTTACTGACCAAGAAGGACTTACGATTTCATTTTTTTCAAACTGAATCAGCTTACAAAGAGAAGATAAGCAAATCCTGCTGAGAAATTTGTTGCCATAATAACTGTTTGTTTCCCTTGGTTTATTTTTTTTTCTAGTCAAAACTCCCTTAATGGGACTAGTGGATTTCATTTTTTGCTTCAGAGCAACCAGCTGGGGAGGGAGGAACTTTTAAGATATATTGTTACTGTTCAAGTGTGAAATAAAACACATGTACATAAACCTTTTGCAAGAGTTCTATTAAAAAACTCTTCCAAGTGTTTTTGTGCAAGTTTATTGCCCCTTAAATAGGCCTAATATGTAAGAAAGGGGACAAAAGATTTAGAACGAGGGAGAGTGAAATGGGTGGAAAATTTCTCATGCTAACTCATGACATCTAAGCTTCTAAAGGAGAATGAAGTTACAATGGCAAAAAATAAGTTTCACTGCTCTCTGCAGATGTAATAGTGCAACCTCTTTGTTTTCTTTCTAACTCATACTTCTATGAGTCATAAATATTACATAATATGTGAATTTTCCATTTCTGATGTACTTGCTTTGGAAAGACAGTGTTGTTGAAGAGAAGATTTGAAAGTTATTAATGATTGCCCATACTTGAAGGCAAGTAAAATTAGTCTTATTAAACTTTTTAAAGAGTGTAATACCCAGACCTGGAAGTTTCCTTTTTAAATCCCAGCAAACTCTGTGTGGGAAATGGAATCCATTGTTGTCTGTGTGTGAAAGACATATTGAAAAACAAAACAAAAGAATAACCTGATCTGCTTCATACAAGAGTTTAGGTATCATGCTCCAAATACTTAGAAAAATAGTTTCATTTTGGCCTCTCCAATATGAAGAGATGCAAGTGGCTATAAATCTGCCCATGGGCTGGGATTTGTACCCATTTTAGGATATATGAAATACTAAAGCTTTTTTGTTAAAAACCCCTCACCAAACACCAAAAAGCAGAACAAGAAACAAACCAGAAAACCTCAAACCAAACCAGTAAGGTAGGCTGTCACCTGCTCTCTCTAGTTTAGTAATGTCTCTAAGAAGATAATCTTTGAAATAATTATAAAACTATAGTAGGATGAAATCCATGTTCGTTAGAATCACAGGAAATTCTTGTTGCAAAAGTATTTTTTCTTGCTTTCAGTAGCTCTGTGAAGATAAACCAACATGTTTTATGCGGAATGAGTACAGGACCTGTGCAAAAGATCTCTTTACCTTTGTGTTGTATTAGTCAACTAAAAGCAATTCAGAAAGCGAGGTCAAGTCTTATCTCTCAGTTAGACAAAGTTGGTACAGCACAAGCAAATGCCAAGAGATAAAGTCTTGTGTTAATTTCTTCTACCTAGGGAGCATGGCATTTAAAATGTTTATCATAACAATTGACAAAGCTAACACACAGTTTACATAGCTGTTAAACTTTTAACTTTTTTCAGCACAAATCTGTTTTTCATGCAAAATTAAAAAATTAAAAAACAATAAAAAACCACCAAAAAACCCAAAAACAAACAAAAAAAACCACCCCTAAACAGAAAACTGCAGAGCTAATATACAAGCATATAAAGAACCTGGGGCAGGCAAAACAAATTATTTGTGGAAGTATTCAAACTACTGCTGAGAATTATATGTTAATATATTAAATGTTAAACACTTCAAATCTTCTTGAGTTGAAATGCTGTAGCAGGCGTGAGTCACTGTTGCTATAGAAGATACTTGTCCCTTACAATGTGTGCTTGAAGACTGATTTGAAGAGATGCATCAGAGCAGAACATCTGCAGCTAATTGGAAGGCTCTTGGAATTGAAGGATTAAAATTGCATCCTACTCATTCACCTCAGAATCCCAAAGAAGAAAATCTTACATCCTAGCGTGGCCCATGGCTGTATTGCATCCCGTGGAAGCATGTGCCATCTGCCTGCTATTGCAGGCAGATACTTTCAAAGACCATGAAGTTGAAGCAAAAGATAATGCAAGAAATACTTGCAGTGTTACTTCTCCACAGTTAAGGCAGCAGGAAGCTCTCCCTGAAAGATTGCACCTAGAGAAAGTGTCCGCTGGAAATTATGCAGAGTTACAAAATATAAAATTTCAAGAGTATTGACAGCAAAAATTTAAATATTCCATGTTAAGCATAAGTTTACTCTTTTTTTAATATGTGACTCTAGGTCTAATGTAAGCTTCCTGCAAATTCTTTTCCTGATCCACTTTTCTTTTTCACTTTTCCATTTCAGAATAAAATGTAGTTTCTAATTAATTGATCATTTTAGTACTTTACCTTCAGACAGACCTCCCTTCTACACTTGCTTTTAAAATGTGTCATTTTTGAAAGAATCCTGAAAAATATTATATCTGTCTATTTCTGTAAATGACTTTCTGGGGCTCTAAAACTGTTTGAGTCAAAGTCAGTGTATAGACACAATCATAAGAACTGAGGTCACAGGTTGGACTTGTATTTACCCTGCTTAAGTAAAACTTTATCACTTTCAGATCTCTAAATTAATCTTTCATACTTAAACTCTTCTGTCCAAGTTAATCTAGTAATGGATATCCTGAGAGGAAACCTGTCGCTATTGCATTGCATTAAACAATTTTTGTTGCATGCCATGTCTTAAACAGTAACAAAATACTGAATTTCAACACTAGGAAGTACTTAATGTTTTACAGAAAAATAACCTATAGGAAGGTCCCCCTGAGCCACAACTCTTCAAGAGTTAGGTGTACTGGTGATAGTGGTGTATTACAGTGAGGTTAAAACTGAGTTGGAGCATCTATATTCACATGTTGGTTAAAGAAAAATCATCTATTTCAAAGTTGATGTGCATGGTCATCTCAATAGTCAGTTGTGTTCTTGAATAAAAGTGCAAGAGATGTCTCTGATTTAGTATCTTAACTTTTGTGTGGAATACATAAACATGCTTGCTTTGCAGTTAGGTCTTTGTGATCTGAGGGTTGAGAGTGGTTCTTTAGTGACTGTATCTCACTTCATGCTGAAGGGCTTCACACGGTGTAAATTACTTTGAGCTGTACTTGTTTTATTCTTAATAGACATTAGATCAGAAGAATATATCACGAATAAGCAAGCCAGGACATTGAGTTCATTTGCAGCTGAAATAAATTAAAGAGATCTTAAGTACTCATTAGAGAAGAAGTAATCCAAGAAAGCAAAGTAAACTGTGTGCACAATATCATAGATGCAAAATATGTATTTATAATAATCTTTCAAAATAAATGTATATTTTGATGAAGATTTGAACAGTTATCTTGATGCTTCTAAAGCATGTCTCTTCAGAGAACATAAGCAGTAGTTGCTTATGGGAAGGTGGACACTGATCTCCAGAAACCCTTACAGTGAAGTTCAAACAGCCTGGATTACAGTCACACTTCTTCAAAGGCTGTGATAAGTAATGAGTTAAGGCCCTGCTACTCTTTCTAGAGTGGCAGCACTGGCCTCAAGGCTCTTACTGCCTGACACTGAAGAATTTAAAAGGGGGATGAACTGAAAAGCAGGTTCATGCACACAAGGGTCTAAAATAGCCCTATCAGCATATTGTGTGGGATTTCAACCTATTCAGTAATTATCAGATGGTTAGAATGTTTAAGCTATGAGAACAGGGAAGAATTCAGCCATGTGTTAGGAGGTGATCCCAAGTCTTCAACCTGCTCAATAAAGAGCGAATTTGGGAGGAGTAGCTTCATGACTGCAGTGGTCATATTCTTCAGGTTGTAGTGGCAATGGGTTAGCAATCCCATAATTACCTGTGTGAGTCAAATCATGTTACTTAGGTCTACCATTTTCTCCTAGAAAAGTCTCACCAGTTTTCAGTTTCAGATTCCAACCCAATGCACTCAACTGGCATAATGTCAAAGGGGAAAGAGGAGCCAAGAACTTTTTAGTAGGTGTCACTTTCAGGTAAATGAAAGACACGATATTCTTCCATAACTTTTTGTAATTCTGGTTTTCACTTAGTCTTGATGTTTTTTTTTCCTTTTCTGCAACTATTAAAATGTTTTTCACATCTCTGGGGCAGACATGACATAAATTTTCCATAAACTTTTGCATTTGACATGGTCATATGGGTTAGCTTATTTAGGGAGCTTATATTCCTTTAATGACAAAGATCAGAATTTGTTCCAGATATCCTAGGAAGTATTTCTATGTTAATTGAGTGGAGTTGTATGATTAAAGGAGGCCACTTCATTTGCAGTAGTAGGAGAATTGAACGTGATCTGAAACTATGCTGCTTTCCTCAGTACATGCTTAAGGATAACTAATATTTGCACACACAGCTCTTCTGTGCAGTGTAAGGAAACACAGTTAACAGTGATGTAAAAAGGGATATAAACAAATATAAGAACTATGATTATCATATTTTCTTAGAATTTTACGTACACAGAAGGGAACTTTGTAAAGAAGAAAACACTAATCATTGAGTCATTTCACCTTCAATTCAGATTTGATTAACTCCCTTTCTCTCTAAAAGAGAGCCAGGGAGATCTTTCCTGGTGACAGCAAGGGCCCCCAGGCCAACTGACTGTGTTCACAAGCTGAATAAACATGGCTTGAAGCAGGTTACCTGAGCCACATTTAGAGGGGAATCATTCAACCTGAAACATCAAAAGGGGGCTAACTTCCTCTACAGCCAAGAGGAACATGACTTGCAGCCTAATTGCACATTATTGTAACGGGACAGGCAGTAGGGCAGAATTTTAGAGAAGCAAAGAACAGAGACCTGAGCTCTGGTTACACAAGTCTCACAATGCTCAAGATGAAAGAGCAGAATGTCTGCCTCTCTTGACAAGAGGAACAAGGCTTTTGCATTATTGACAAGATTGCTCACTGTGAGTATGTAAATGAGATGGCTCAGTCAGAGTAAGTAGGGACCTTTCTACGTGCTGCTTGCATTAGTTTTTATTGAACTCTGGCTCACCAGGAGGGGAAAGGAGCATTGCCTTTTACTTTGTGTACCTACTTTGTTCTTTTCAGCATGACCTCTATTCTTTTGATGGTGGTTTTTTTTTCTTTTGGATGTATATATGAAGTGCATGTTGAAAACAAAGGTATCAAAATTAATCGTTTGGATATTTTCAAAGTCTTCAAATAACTAATTAGTATTTATAAGGTAATTTCAAATGGAAATAGCACTAATAAAATGTACTGCCAAATTTTGTTGGAACTTTGTAAGGGTTTTGTAAACTTGTAACTGAAGATAGTACTTTGTAAAATCACATGGCTTTAATAGTGAACACATTTTCTTTAATTATGTTTCACTGTAATACTCTTGAACTCTTCCTCATTTTAACACTGTAGTATTTAACATGGTGTAATGATAATGTCTTGAAATTGGAAGAGAGGAGGTTTAAATTAGATATTAGGATGAAATTTTTACTGTGAGGATGGTGGTGCAGTGGAGCAGGTTGCCCAGGGAAGATGTGGATGCCCCATCCCTGGAAGTGTTCAAGGCTGGGCTGGATGGGGCTTTGACTGACCTGATCTAGTGCAGGGTGTGCCTGCCCATGGCAAGGGGATTGGAATAGATGATCTTAAAGGTCCCTTCTAACCCAAACCATTCTATGGTTCTATGATTGTTTTTCAAGAATGGTGATAAATAAAAAAAGAAGACTGAGTCTTTAGTTTGTCCCTTCCTGAAACAGTTTCTTCTGAGCAACTTGTCTGCAACAAATGAAATCTCAGTTTGTGTTCTAGAGTAAAAAATATATATAATTGCATAAAAGACAATTATTAAAGTTCAAATCCTTTCCTAAATAAACTTTATAAGAACAAATATTAGCAAAATAAGTGAATAGATCACAATTGTTAAAAGAAGATTTAGGCACAAAGTTTGAATTTAGTAGCGAGAAACTTTGTTTCTGCTTATGCACATCTTTCCTTGGACTGTGAAAACTAGTTTTGTCATATTTTGATGGGGATCTTTGCAGGAAAAATAAAAAACCCAGCACTTCTCTGCCCCAAGCTCAAACCTATCATTGCAAGGCAGGGATCTGTGTCTTTATGGAAGGTGTTTGTGGTTGGTATAGTTAGAAGCTGTGAGATGGAAGGAGGATAGACAGGTGAAAGATATACAACTGGGATCTGAACATTTGTATTTCTAATGTTTTGTATTTGCTCTCATCCTAGCAGAGCTTACCCATAGGTTACTAGTATAAGGAAGGATATAGGCACAGTGCTTTTTTGTTGTGCAGTATTTTTTCACTTCATCTATTCGTTGCTTAGGGGACTGAAAACATGTTGTGGTGGTTTTAATCTAGGCCTTCCCTGGTTACCAGTTTGTAACCAAGGAAGGGGCAGTGTTCCCAGTATTCCATACGATTTTTACATAAATCGTGGTATAAATAAGAAGGGAGGAGCGGCCTTCGTTCCTCTTCTCTTCCGCTGAAGTTCGGGAACAGTGGGTCCCTGCGTTGGTCTCGCTTATCTAAGGCTGAGACCTGCAGCATCCACTGGCCTGCCACGTGGAGGCTTGGGGAGTGCTGGCCGTGTGTGTGTCAATCCTGTTTTTTTTCTAAGGGATGTGGTGAGATTTGTTTTACTAGTTATTTTACTAGTTCTTGGGTTTGATTGCGCATATCTATTCGGTGTCCCTTTTTATTTCTTTTTGTCCCTTTTTCCCCTTTCCCTATCCCTTTGGGGGGTGTTTGGATTCCCGTTTGCTGTGTACATAGCATCTTAGCTGTAATATACATAAAATATAATTTTTTTATATAACTAGCTTGGTTTTCGGGTTCTTCAATTTGCATAGTTTTTTTCCTTTGCCCTGGGGGAAGTAGAAAGGGGGGAAGAGAGGGGCTGCTACTGGGGGGTTGGGCATTTGGCAGGGAGCCAAGTCTGAACCATCACACATATCAGACTAACAGATGTAACAGTCATTTTCATTTGGCTTCTCTACATGTGTAATATATTTGCTAAACCGGCTGCATGTGTTGAGGTGAAGCTTTCACAGTTTGTTTCCTTTTTGTGAAGGCCAGTTGGCTTCTCCAGGACCTTTTAATCCTAAGGCAGCATCTCCTGTCGTTCATGTAGTGAATTTTAGCTTTGGTGAAAGCACTGTGTCTTAAGAAAGAAAATTGTCATCATTTGTTTTTAACATGCCTTGGTTTTTTCCACTCAGATTCAATTACATGTTTTAATGGAGGTGAGTGTGTCTACAGAGAGCTGTGCAACTGCAGTCGATTCAACGCAACTGGACCGAGATGCCAGACAGGTGTGTAAAAAGAGAAAACTAACTGGAATTCTGTGATTGTACTTGGGTTCCCACAGCTACAAGAATGACTACCCTCTGCCTAAAGGTTCCTTTGTGCTCTAGCATTTTTCCCTCCCTTTCTTTTAAGTGATAATATTTCACAGCACGCCACGTATACTACCTTTATCAGCTAGAGAGTAAATAAAAAAAAGAAAAACCCATTGCTATGTCTAAAGTGACTCTCCCTTTGTTAGTGTATAACACAGGTGCTGAAAGAGATCATATATGCAGAACATGGGGCCAGTATAATTTTGAAACTTTTGATGGACTCTATTATTATTTTTCTGGGAAATCTACATATGTGCTTGTGAGACATGCTGAAGTAGATGAGCAGAGCTTTTCTATACAGGTAGGGAACCATACTTGTACATTCCTTTTAAATGTTGTTGAACATGCTAATGATGTATTAATTTTAAGATATTAAAAATCACTTGAGATGATGGTATGGGGTTGTAGAATGTAATCTAGATGTAAATTCTAACATGATGTGGGCTATCAGTTACCACAGCACAAAATACATGCAACCAAAATAAAACTGATGTATGCACAGCTTTGTTTGCACAAAGCTGTGAAAAGACCATGGCTACGGAAACACCATTCAGTTTTTTGTGCTAGAGTAGGACCAAACTACTTGTTCACTGCTGAGTGTGGGATTGGGGGTATTAGTTGTGTGACATGTGGATTACAAAGAATGTGATTAAAACCTTGACTTTGACACTAGTGTTTTTATTTTGCAGGTGAATAATGATCCTGAATGCCATTCTTCTCCTTATTCCTGCAAAAGGTCAATTAGTTTATTCTTTTCTGGAGATGAACAGATAAAGATCAGCAGTGAAGTCACCTATAAAGGCTTTGGGTAATTCCAGTTATGTTTCTGATGCTCTAGTTACATTAAAATTAATGTCATGGTAACATTTTGATAGCAGAGATGTAAACTTATTTGTTGGTAGCTTGAAAAAGTGTCCATACCACAGATGCAATAATTCTTCCCCATCTACAGAGTACAGTCTGAGGAAGGGGATCCCTAAATTGGTGGTATATAGTATTAAGAAGTATAATATATATGACCATTGACATTCATACTTTGATTTTTGGTGATATTTGCAACTTTATTTGGTTTAGTGGAGTTAGTATACATTTACATAAGGAATTTTCAGATGCACGAGGAAGTCATTACATCAGCAAGTAGTTTATTTTTAATGGTTATACTTTCTAACGTAATGTTATTTTTGATTCTGTGTAATTTCAGAGTAAAATTACCTTATATTATTGGAAACTTACACATCCAGAAACTGGCTGGATACTTCCTAGTCAGGCACCAGTATGCCTTTACTCTGGCATGGGATGGTATATCTGCAGTGTATATCAAAATGGCACCAGAGTACCTGGGCAAAACGCACGGACTGTGTGGAAACAATAATGCTATTCTGCAGGATGATCTTGAAACTAGTTATGGTGGGTATTTAAGATGCTTCCTGTTGTATAATATGTGTGTGTGTGTGTGTGTGTGGTTCAAGTGAAATAAATGTTACTTTGCTTAGTGTTTAATTATGATGCTAATTGAATTTAAGATGAGCAACTTCTGAAATGGAAAATATGTTGTGGAAATACTTTTGGTAGATGACACTGTTAGTGAAGAGAACCAGTTTCAATACAGTTGGGGCTCTGGGGAGGAACATTTTAAAAAGTCTGTCTTGCTCAATTACCTGCAATGGCATTTGTGCTTCAGTTTCCTGGGACCTGAGAGGTAAAATCTGGTTTTAAATGTTTGCTGTTCTCTTAGCAATTTTTCAGCCTGTGGAAGCCTGAGATATTGCTATTTTAAATAAATCAATAATTAGTAAGTCAAATAAATGAAAACTGTTGAATCCAGTTTGATCTGGCATCTCATTTGTGATAACACTCAGAATTGACTAGTGATCCTTTGTTATTAAGGATCATTCAGACACTTCCAAGATTCTTGGCTTTCAGTAAATACTGAGTGAAGACCTCAATAAAATAAACAGTTGAAAAAAACCAGGTCCCTTGAAAGGTATTTCAAGTTAGGCTATAAAAACTTCTGGAGATCATTGCTTTGGGCTGTTTAGCTCTTTGTTTCCCTTTAGCATTAGGGTATTTCTGTAGAGTACTACTCCAAAGCTCAGCGTAGATGTGGTAGTTTTCCTCTTTTGTTTGTGCATGCCACTGAGTCTCAGAAAGCATCAGCCCTGTACTGTTAATAGTCATTACCCACAATGAATCCTTTGCTCACTAAATCAAATTGCTTAGATTAATACCGAGAGCAGTAGCTCGTTGCCCCAGAGAGTTTCCTCCATCCTCTCACCTTTCTCAGAGTGTCTCAGTCACATTAAGCTGTGATTGCAGCACAAGTCAGTACACTGCATATCAGCTTTGTGCAGTTATCTTGGGGAGCAGTTGCCATAAAGACATGGCAAGACATGCATTTGTGGGTAATCCAAACAGTAATCAGTGTTACCACTTGTCCATGATGGATAATAGTAATAAAAATTAGCTAGTTTCACTCTAGCATGGACATTTCTACTTATGTGAAAGATTCACACCCTACTTGGCTAATGCAGACAATCATTTTGAACTGTTGCAGTGACCCGTGAACGCCTCTTCTTTCTTGGGTTTTACACCCTCTGTTGGGAGTTTCTCATAAAACAGAGGCACACACCTATGCATATACAGTTTATTAAAGCTTTTCTTTCCTTTCTACAATTGATGGACTAAGGGAAGCCCTCCTCCCTTAAGCCCTTCCTTGCCAAATTGCCCGAGTAAGCTGCCTTCTGCTATTCTAAAGCCCCTTCTGTAGTTCCTTTTAAAAGCATTTTTTTGGTTCTTGGAAGTACTGTATTGATTTCAGCTGATTCATTTAGTAGTAGGAAGGGTTGGGTGTTCTCTTCTTAATGTGTTTTGATTATTGAGATGTTTCCCAAGAAATCCTGTAGAAACGTTGTTGTTCTTCCAAGCCACCATGTGACTGTATGTGTGTGTTTTGTTTAGGAAAACTGACAGATGATGTAACTGAATTTGTAGAGAGTTGGCAGGAAAATCCTCCACAAGGAACACCCAGCTGGGATAAATCTCTTCTCAATGAGCCACCGTGCCTGACACAAACCCATGAATCTCTACAGGTTTGGATCAACACAAAAACATTATTACAACAGTTGGTAATTCTAATTATAGCAGGAATTTGGCTTAATGCTTTGAAATATTCAATATTGGAAATATTCAAGCTCTGGACATATTCAAAGCTCTTTGGAGAGATGAATTAAAATGATTGCTGCAGCAGATCTTCTCTTGTTGTCTCATCCTGTCCCTCCCCATCTTTTCTTCTGTATTTCTTGATCTTTTCAAATATTATCTATATAGCAAAAGTGTTTGAATCTGGAGCTAAATGAGTGAAAAGTTTTAAAATAGGGTAGTGTTATAGAACTAGTCCCCATTCCATCCCTTAGGAAGCATAGAAAGAATCAGGGAGGCCGTACTAGAATGAGAGCAGAGGTAATTTGTCAGTGTTTAAAAATTAATTTTTGTTACTTTTGTCCATAACACTGAAGTAATTTTTCCTTCTAAGTAGTATTTTCAGGATATAACCCTTAAATTATATGCTTTGAAACTGAAGCTGATGACAAGCATTGTTTATTTCTGTTGTGTTTTACTGTGTAATGTAATTAAAAGGAAGAGCTTTTTCAGGTTATTTTGGCTTAGTTGTATTTCCCTTGGGGAAGGAATGTTTTACTGTCACTGGTATGACCTCGGATCAAAGATTCAGTGTTATGGGTACTCTGGCACGTAGAGCAGTATATTGCAAGACACTGCTTCTAGTTGGTGAGAAGCAAGTGATTCCTAGTCACAGATGTCTGTTCTGATTTCCCATAGTATTCTATTATATTCAGCTTATGTTTACTTTTTAAAAGCTTCTCTTCACAACAGTTGTCTCTTTCATTTCAGAGGACATATGCTCTGTGTAATATCCTGTTACATCCCCCATTCAAACAATGTCATGACTATGTGAGTCCTCTTTCTTTTATGGCAAGCTGCACAAATGATCTTTGCATGTAAGTGAATGCTTTCAGGTAATACCAAAGCTATTACAAAAGAAAGTCCTTTTTATCATGAGAATGAATTGTAAATGTTAACAGAACTGATTTGTATCTTTTTGTCTATATTTGTTTCTATCTAACATTATCTTATTATTTTGTCTTTGCTCACTTGTTCTAGTTTTACTGCAGTGGAGCACTGTGGAGTTGTTCCTATTTTCTTTAGTACAAGGGTGACCAAAATCAGGCTGTGATATTTTCAGAATTTGTTAGTGTATCTCCCATGAATATGGCATCAGTGTTGATTCTGAGTGTGCAACATCCTTAGTATTGGTATAGGATTACTATAATGAAATGTAACAGTGAAAAGGTCAGTTTGGCATCTGCAAGCCATATGGTAATCCATTGTAAAGAGGAATTTGATTACTATTTGAACTTATGCTAACATGTCACAACCTGCTATGCTCCTTGTCCAAGCAATTTAGACTAGTTAAATTAACAGGCAGGACAGAAGTTAACTTCCATTTACAGTACCACGGTGACCCACTGATGGAAATCTTACACTTTCCTGTGAGTTTTCTGCAGGGTGTTAGTCCTTTTGTAAAACTCAAGACCTTTATTGAGGTCTGTTATAGTCTGTCTTTCATGGATTTATTCAAGAAATTAACGTCAGGTCTCAAATATATTGATATTCATACTGAAGGTCTCTCTTCAAATGTGGCAGAATGTCTAATCTATTAAAAGACTTTTAACCTAGCCCAGTAGCACAGTACAATTTTAAAGTAGGTTCAGACAACATGGTTGTAAGCGATGCAGGAGCATTCATGAGGTTATGATTGCGTGTCTGAATGTAGGTAGAAAATAATCAGTCAATTTTTATTTGCGTAAGGTCAGCAGCTGATAATGCAACTTGGTGTCGAGCACTAACTGAGTACGCCAGAGCATGTGCCCAAGCAGGAAAGCCACTTCATGGATGGCGTGTGCACTTTGAGCAGTGTGGTACGTAGATGCTTTTGTACTTGGAAATGCTGTTTCTTAGCTGTATTTTGAAAAGGATGCACTTCAAAGTTTTATTTTATTGTCCTTCCTCCTCTTTTGAATTCACATAGCTCTTAAAGAAACTGTTGAGTGAATGAAACTCACTTCAAGGCTACATAAATGTGACGGGATTTTTCTTTCATATGTATAATTTGTTTACCGAATATATATAATATATATAATATATTGAATATAAATACTGAATGTATTTAAAGTACTTAACTGAGCTAAGTACAACGTGAATTAAGAGCCTTCTTACTAAATCGGATATTTTTAAAGATGATTAACCATTTTTATTTTCGTAGAGGTACTCTTTCACATGTTGTCCAAATCTTCATGGCTTTCTGATATGTAAAATGTGCATCATGAGTGTTAAAAATAAATTTAAATTGCACTTCCATAAATCTTCATTGTATAAGTCACATGAAGTAAGTTTGAAAAAGTTCATCTAATTTTTTCACCTGTCTGTAACACAGGACCAAAACTGCTTTGTTATCTAGGACAGATTTCCCATATACTTCCAAAAATCTCTGTTAATGAATGTTCTGACTGTGATGGTCTGAGTATCTGAATAGCTCTGCTGTGAGAAAATTTCTGAGTTTCCATTGGTGTAATTTAAGATTATTCCTTCTTAAAGCACCTTTGGACCAAATATGAATATATAGAAATATGTATCAATTCTGTGAGTGTGTGTGTTATGAAAACCATTTTTCTAGACAACAGATACTCAATCGACTTGCCAAAAAGTAAATACCTGAAAGAAACATTTGCAATCTATTTAAGCCCTGAGGCATTAAAACAATAACTTTGCTCTACTTGTTCCTATTTTTTAGTCATTACCTGTGCTGAACCCTTGACCTACAATGAATGCATCAACTGCTGCCCTGTTTCATGCCACCAGCAATCTCAGTGTATTAACAGTGAGCTTCCCTGTGTTGATGGATGCTACTGTCCAGATGGTAAGTTTTACTTCTCAAATACATATTATTTAATTCCATATAACTTTGAGGTTGTTCTTCCCCAAGCTTATGTCTCTATACAGCCTAACTAGATTAAAGCATTTCCAGGAGCTCTTTATAAACAAAGTGCCAACGGTGTGTGGATGAATGACCTTATTTTCCTTATAGACAACAGCCCTTTGCTCCTTCTAACAAGTGGCAATAGGTTTCAGCACAGATCCACATTCTAGCTGCACAGATCCACAATTTGAATGAAAAGTAGTGTTTGCCCTCTTGTTACAGGACAACCATCCTCCTGATTGTGGTGGCTGCTGCTTGGTTTTTGAGGAGAGGGAGAATTATTTTGGTGGATTGGGTTCAGTTTTTGTTTGTTTGTTTGTTTTGTTTGCTTGATGATTTTTTTCTGCGTTTTTTTCCTGAAGACTGCCTGCAAGGTTACAGAGCTTAGGAGAGCTCAAAACTATACCATAAGTAAAATTCATTCATGTGGCCAGAAACAGGTTTTCATACTGAGCTTCTTACACTGTTGTATGATTCTGGCTAGTAATGTATTTACAGTGTGGCCTACAACAAAACTTTACCCTCATCACCACAATAGGTGTCAATGTCCAGTTTTTCTCTAGTTACTGGCTTTTCTTGGGTACATAACTTTCTCTATCCTCTCTTATATATAATTATGCCATGGATCTTCAAGTCACGCCTCTTATATGTACCCTGATTATTTATGAGTTTAATAATCTTTATTATTTATTGATCATTTTACCTTTTGTGGGTTTTAAAGCCTTTTAGCTTCTGGTTCTCTAATAACAAAATAATAAACCAACCAGAAAATACCAAAGCAAAAACCTGTTTCAGTAAAATAAGGACCAAAGAGTACCTTAAAATGGCAAAGATTTGTAAATGTGTTAAAAAATAAGCCAAAGGTACTCAAAGAAGTGTGGCTTGTGTATTTGGGTTTGGTTTTTTTTAGTGTTTGTGGTTTCCTCCCCCTCTCACCTAGTATTAAGTATTTATTATTCATACTATGTTTAGTGTATCTCAGGCAATTTAGTGTCTTGGTCCATGTAATATATTTATTTAATATAATTCAAATGCACTTTTTTGGGGTGAAAATTACTATTAGCCTAGATTGTATTATCATACAAGACTATCTGTGTTGTTCTTGAATTTATTTAGTAGTGTTCTGTCAGTCATTTGTATGCATATTTCTCTTTTTTTCTTGTTATTTTATTTATTCTAGGCTTAATTTATGAAAATGAATTGTGTGTCAAACCTATGGACTGTCCTTGTGACTACCATGGGAGTTTCTTTGAAATGGGTTCGGTGGTTTATGAGGAATGTAATAACTGGTGAGTAGTTTTGCTTTTTATGCTGTGGGCTTCATCCTTTCATTGTCATAAGAGACAACTTCTTCAAGGCCTATTTCAGTTGGACATAAAGAGCCTAACGTAAGCGTGACACTAAGCCGATGTTTTGAGAATTTTTAAGTTAGTTTTATACATTTGAAAGAAAAATCTGTAGGAAGAGAAAGTGCCTTTTGCTGGATCACCTTAAAATGGATGAACTTGCAGATGCACAGCTTTTTTTTCCACGAGAGTTCTAATTTTAAGTCATAGGATTCAGATTGCTTGTGTTTATTCTTCTCAGTTTTATTGCTCAACTTTTTTAATGGTTATTAAGGAGCTAAAAAGAAATCAAAATGTTACTTTATGCATGGATGAAATTTCACTTGATTGTGTCTTCATGACAAGTTCTTGCCACAGCTTGCAGGCATTCTAATGACTGTGATATCTCTGTTGTACCCTTTTGTAATATGCAAGACACTTGGTTCTCATTTCATAGAGAAGGAATCCAGGAAGAACAATTGAAGGACAGCCATATGTAATTCAAAAAATAAAAGTATGAAACTTTTTGTTTGATTTCAGCACCTGCATTGGAGGAAAGTGGGTCTGTACAAATCTTACATGCCCAGGTATGTGAAAGCCTTGCATACTTAATTTTTTGATGACTGAATTCTTACTTCAGGTAAAATATTACTTTGAGATCTTAATGTGATCTTTCAGCACATAATTTGCATTTTATTTCCATCTACATGTAAATGCATCTACAGACTCAGTAGATTAAATGTTAAAATGGTCTAAACAGCAGGCATCTGCCTTTTAACGTAGTGCAGTAATGTGTTTTCCCATACATCACCATAATGTCTCTGGTAGATGACACTACCTGCTCATTTATTTTCCTCAACCAAATTTTCCACTGCAACCCTCACTTGACATAATTACGGCAAGTTTAATCTTTTTTACTCAGTATTGCTGGCTTATCAGTTAACAGTGGGAGTGCTTAATGTTTCTGAAAATGAGCCTTAAGAGCCACAAATCAAACACCCGCAATGTAAGGATGACACATATTATTGCTTCTTTTTACGGGAAGGGCTGTTTAGATATCCTGGCCTGGCATCAGGTACAAACTCCAGTACAAAAACAAAGATAAGGTTCAGCTCTTTAATTGGGTTCTAGTACCTGGTTGTAATACGAATACAATGTCATAAATTATAGAATATTATCATAGTGTATAAACCCTACAGCAGTAATACCTGTTGAGAGTACACTGTCTTTACTACATACTTAAATGCATAATTTATTGTGTTTGTCAGCTGAATGCTCGGTTTCAGGAGACACTCATTTCATGACCTTTGATGGGCGCAAATACACTTTCCAAGCTACCTGCCAGTATATTCTAGCCAAGAGCCGTACATCTGGAGCATTTACCATATCCTTGCAAAATGCTCCTTGTGGACAGGTAAGTCTCAGAACTTTCTTGGAGTGTTTATATCTTGAAGGGCTTATTATTTGGTGAAAAAAGTATTAAAAAAACAAAAAGGCAAGCAAGTTGACTGCAACTACATACAATAAATAGTAGCAACAACTTTCTGTAATGATGAAGTAGTTGGACAGCAACAGTGCAGAGGAAGTCTGTACATAAATTCTCCTGCTTGTTTGGGGTAATAGGAAAGATTATGCTAGTATTCTGATTCGCTGTTCACTGAGGTCATTCAATGGCATGTGGGAGTTCATGCAGCACACCCTGGATAATGACTTCTTTTCTTGAGCTTTCTGAGTACCTCTTTTTGATTTTGCAGCCAGCACAAAGTCTACTGCTTATTATTGCTTGAAGGAAGAATGACTTTTTTATGTCTTCAGTATAGATTTCTCTTTTGTCTTTGTTCTCGCAACTTGAAATTTGCTTTTACTTACGTTGACTTGAAAACATTTGGATAGCTTTTTGGGCAGCTCTCTCAGATTTGTTTGTATAAATGCATTTGTGTTACTGTTGCTAAGTTGGTACTTTTTACAGTTGTTTTCAACCAAACATCTATGTGTGTGTAGGTAGCTGATATTAAAGGTGCTACTAAAGGTTATGTTAAAGGTGCTCCTACTTTATATTTCAAAGTTGCTGGTACTGTACATAGAAATGGCCAAATGTTTTGTCTGCCTTGTATCCATTCTCTTTCCTTTGTTGTGTATGTGGATTTCTGAGCATGTATTATAAAGTTATGTGTGAGGTATGGAACACTGGTAAGAATTTTGACTACACTTTCATTACGTTCTTGATAGGATGAGAAGCATAGCTGACTGAGAAGCATATGAGAAGCATAGTAGACTGAGTTGAGCCATTTTCTGGAATCAGGCTTTTCTCACTGGCTGAGTTCTACATGTGTTTGTAAGGGCAGAATTTGGCCCAGATTTGTATTAGGGTCAAGATGCTGCTGTGGATGCCTACTTACTAAGTTGCTGGACTTGCAGTAGAGAAAAGATTTTGTATCTTGGCCAAATTTCTCTTCTGTCTCTAATAGTCTTCTGTAATGATTTTTACTTAGAAGCAACTGTATAGGTATTTGAAGTGTGTATTGCCTTAAATATAACTTTGCTGTAACTCTAGATCACCTCCGTACTTTATGTTAGGGCTATGTTGTTACATAATTCACATAAAATCAGATTTAGTGCTATGACTTTGTACGTCTGTGGAGGTAACTTCTTACATTTCATTGTATGTTTTCTTTTGCTAAATAAATGTATGATCCTGCAAGTCCTTTTACATCAATGATTGCAGACGCTCTTCTCTGCAGCTTATATTGTTCATGCACTTGAGATTTCCTTGGGAAGAAAAATGGTTATATAAATTGTCATGCTACACTTTCTAAAGGCACATTTCAGTACTCCTTTTGTATTTCTGCACTAAATCCTACTTCTCTGTTTGACAGAAAATACATTTAAGCAGAAGGAAGTCTTATTAAAGTGACAGTGGCAAGTTTTTTATAATAGAAATTATCTGTTTGTGATCCAGGTAAGAGATGGGAGACTGAGTGCAGGGAATTTCCTCATCTCATTGATAAAAGTTGAGAGGCAAGGAAATTAACTTAACTGGATAGAGATGAAGTATATTTTTCAACTAGATGATCCTCAGGTAAATGTCTCTTCTATGGTTCCTAGAAGCATATAAAGACACCAAGTGAGGTATGTGACAGGGCTTAGAAGTTACCACTGTTGAAAAAGTGGATTCCTGTGTTGCTTTAAGATGCTCTAATAGTCTCTAACTCTTTGAGGTAAGAGCCTTATGGTGGGGTCTGTGAAATGACATTTTGGCAAGGACATGCACATCAAAAAAACTTCTAGGCTTTAGTCTCTGTGTGCATTATTCTTTGGATTGGAAAGAATTTGGTGTTCCTGCTAATATTTGCTGTTTATAGAAAGATTGAGACTGTTTCAAGATACAGTATATTTGGTTGGTGTTACAATTGTCCACTTCAAGTGCATATTTGGCTTAGCTTGTTTTTACTTCAGTAAGTTTAGTTAGCTTCATTCTGGGCTAAGCTTAGAATCCTGAGGAGCTGATGAAGTTACTATCATCTAGAAGAAAAAAAATGAAAATAAGAGCTTTGAAACAAAAAACGAACATAGCCATAAATCTGTTCAGTCAGTGTCATAGTCTCAGAATTCTGGAGAGTCCAAGAAGCTTGAGAAATGTGATTGTATATAATATAGTTGTACTATATCATTGAAGAAAAGCAAAGGAAATCTCCAGAGAAACACTCTGGGCAACTCTTTTATCAAATGAGAGTTGAGGCCTGAATGAGTTCTTGCAGAAGCCCACAGTGAGGAACCTTCTAACCTGATGTGTTGAAAATCCCATCAATGAACAGCAGAGGTCTGGAGCAAACAACTGCTGTGGTAACGTGCAGCATATAAATGTGTGTCTTGTTCCTTGTGTTACAGAACAGTTATTCTGTGGGCAAAACAGACAGAATTGTGCCTTTTGGTTTAGTTGTTGTGGTTGCTTTTTGCTGAGGAAAGTGAAAACATAGCTTTCTGCAGCACTGGTGAGACTGCAAAGTGCTTTGTAGTAACTCCTGCTTTCTTCTTCACCCTGACTTAGCAACTCTGCTTAATGTGTCTCTGTGTCAAAGTGGTTTGTAGGTGAAAAAACAGATTCTCTTTACTACATGTTGGGTTTCATACCTCACCTAGCTTCTAACAAAAGTCCCTAATCAGTCCCTGATCAGTCCCTAATAGGTATAGGCCTTTACAGAGGTTTAAGTGAAATGTTCTGGATATTAACAGTCAGGTGTGTGGTCAGAGGGTTATGTGACGTGTTCCAGGGCTAACTTAGTTATCAGTGTGCAAGTGGTAACAGGGTAGTGAGAACGTTTTGTGTAGTATAAGGCAAGAATGTGTTTTTTTTTCAGTGCAGCTATTCAAGTGTCTAATTATCAACTAGCTGGTAGCACTTGGCAGAAGAGCTGCTTTTCAGTTCCCCAGGCACCGTCCATTATCTTTCTTCCCATTTATAAAATTAATGAATTGAAATGGGAAGCTAAAAGATTTGTAATGTGGAATCTCATATTTCTTGATGGTTTGAGATTTTATGTGCTTCTTTAAAAAAGCCTTATCACTCCCATCTCATTCAAGCAGATTAAAAAATGTGGAAAGAAAATACCTGGGGAGATTTTAGCTTTCTGAATCACAAAGACTCCAGTCATCTGGAGCCTTAGAGCTGGTGACATAAACAGTCATCAGGCAACAAGTTATTTGAAAACGATGTGAAATTTTGTTTAAGCACTTTTTGGAAGGAGAATCAGTCAAGTGATCAGCACAGCTTAACCTTATCTGAGTTTCAAGTGACAACCTCGCTGGCTTTGTAGTTTGTATGATGAGAAGGTCTTCTGAATATAGATTTTTATTTTGTTTTTTTGAAGTGTCTAGTGAGAGAAATGGCCATTCCTGTGAAAACACCCGCTGAAAGCTGGCAGGGGCAGTGCTGCGAAGGAAACACTTCATTGGAACAGAGAACAATTGTCAGGCAGAATTTCTTCTTCAGTTTCAGCATGAAGGAATAATAAAGCTTCTGTCGAGATCCTATACTAATGTATATACTATGAAGGGTTGTTTTCTTGGCTCTGATCTGCTATGCATATCACCTGCCATCCTTTTATCTTCAGCTTCTTAAAAGGCCAACAGTATCATCAATTTGTAGCCATTGTTTCTGAATGAAATGCACAGAAGCACAACTTCTAAAGTAAAGAGACAAAACATCAAGACATGCTATGAGGGTGTGACTTCACAAGGCAGATGTCTGTCTTCACTGTCAGCCCAGGGGAGCTGGTTGAACTGATGAAATATCTCTAGTTATTTTTATAATTTGCTAGTTTCATTTTTTTCATTTCAACTGTTGGTGAAAGATCACTGTTGAATTATTCTCTAGAGACAGGGAAATTCTGCATGTAATTTTTAATCTTTGCATACTGTGTGTATCTATGTGTTCATGGTATTTGAAGAGCTGACAGATGATATCTCTTTGCTGGTTCAGCATCTGTGAAATCCACACGGTAATGTTCAGAGATCCTTGCAGCTCTAGTAATGGTTTTCAACAAGCAGGGTGACATTTGCCCTGTATTAGATAAGTCCCAGCAGAAGTCAGAGTTGAATAAAAGCATAAATCCATGAACTGAGCATCCTAATTTCTTTGCTCTGTGAATGATGCTATTCACTGTATAATTTTGCAGTTTGTGCAACTGTCTAAGGGTCATGTTATCTATACCTCTTTCAGTGCCTCTTTCAGCACTGAAGATTCTTAAAATTTCAGTTTCATCAGTAGTTATGCCTTCACTGAAGGCAGTGGAGCTGCACAATGCAGCCTCCCATACCTGTGCTGGACATTTCTGGACTGCAACACCATTGCATGGGAAATTTTCTGCATTGAGACCTAGACTGCTCTTTGGCCAAGTCACTGTAGACATGTCTGTGTATGTTCTGTTATATAAGACTGCCTGGGGGTTGTGCTGAAAATGGTGTTGATAATAGAGATATTTTTGTTATGACATTATCAGATGTTGAAGATGCATAATTGAGATGAGAGTAAAATGAACAAATAGTCTGACCAAAGTGACCAGACCCAATTTTAGTCATTGTTCTTGAATAGCTGTTGAATGGTTACAAGGTCTTGCAGTGAAGGGGGCTAACCAGAAGAAACAGCAGTTGGGTGCTTCCCTATTTTGTCTGTAGATGGCAGGGAATGGACAGTCTCTTAGCTTTATCCTGCTACACCAAGCCAGTGTAAATGAGCTGATGTCTCAGAAGCTATAGTAAAGGGATCTGAGTGTAGCAGAAGTGGCAGAAACCTAATTTTTTCCTAGAGCAAGCAGAAAGTAGAATGTGGACTGGAATTATGATGTCTTTCAACATGTAGGAAGGTCAATTACAGAATGGTGACATGGTAAAGTTCAAGTCATCTCTCAATCCACCTCTGTGCCTGATTCTCTGTGATAGAACATTTCTTTTTAAAAAATTAAGTAGTGATCAAATTAATTCTGTTAAGAAAATTCTGTTAATCTGCTGTAATTAATAAACATGCTTTAATAAACATTCTTCCCATATTGGCATTGAAACCAAAGTACCTGTAGTTACTCTGCAAAGTGGAGGTCCTGTCCTGGAAACTTTATTGGAATGACTAGTGCTAGTCATCTGTCCAACTTGTTTCCAAGTTATTTGGTAGAAGTGTGTTTGCTACTGTGGCATGTTGCAAGTATTCAATATTTAATAGCCCTCAGACTAGTGCTGCTTTCCATGTGCGGTGTGATGTCTAGTTGAAGATGACTACAGTAACAGTTAAGTAGTTTGGGACTTCATGGTGGTACCCATCCATTTCAGTACTTGATTGAGTGAAAAAATCCCCAACCTAAAAACCTTAGAACAAGTATACAGTAGGTGGCTTGTGTTTTGATGAAAGCAGTTAACTTGAACTAAATTCTCAGTCTTTAAGCTGTTCTGAAATTTCTTTCTGTAGGGCACGTAGCTTTTTTGTGTTGGGAAACTTTTGCACATAAGTGCAAAATTCTGTTTTTTAGAATTTCAGTCAATTAGCTGCTATTGGTTCCACTGAAGAGGGTGGATCTAGAAATACCAAATAAGGATAACTTTTGCCTTTTTTGTTTTTTTTTAAGTATGTTTCATCTGAACTGCAATGCCGTATTCCTTTTCATGTCTCTATGACATTTTGGCTTGGGAGAGTGAAATTCAAATGAGAATAAGCATGGTAGCAAATGGTAGTAACAATAAACAAGTCAGGCCTGTGGATGTATGCTGCCATGATGCTGCCTTTCTTTCATCGATATTCATCCGCGGAGCCTATGAGCATACTCCACAACTCCTCTCAGAAGTAATGAATTTATATGCTGTTTTAAATAATGGTTCTCAAGATACTTCTGTCTTCCATTACTGTTTGCCTTCAGAAGAATTTTGTATCTTAAATATGCTCTAAAAAGAACCTGGGTATATCAGAACACTATTTAAAGTACATACTTGGATTTCAGTGCACTGCTCTACAGATAATGCAGCCTTGTTTGTGAGCAGTAACTCAGCCTCAGTGGGTCTTTAATCAGGGGGGTCCACGAACTGCAGGTGTCTTGGTACTAAGCTATGTGGGAATTGTTTCAAGCTCTCTTTACAAATCCTACTTTTGAGCTGTATTTGCATAGCAGGTTAGAGTTATTGACAAACATATATGGGAAATTATTCAAAATACTAAGTTTTACTACTTAGCTATAAAGCTGTATGTTTTTCAAGTGCACTCTGGTAAGAAGCAAGTATAATTTTAAATTTTCAATCCTCACTAAATATACCTTTACTTATTTGTTTTCCTCTTACTTGTAGAACCAGGATGGATCATGTATCCAATCAGTCAGCCTTATTCTTAAGCAGGATCCCAAGAGGCAAGTGACTCTGACTCATTCAGGAGATGTTTTGATATATGACCAATACAAAATTAACCTACCTTATGCAGATGGTAAGGAATGATATATAAGCATATAACTCTTATCAAACACTAAAGAAGTATTTTATTGACATTTTTGTACTGTCCATATTGCGAACATACTGAAGTTAAATGGCATAGTTTAGTATTAACATTGTTAATTTTTTGTGAATGTTTTGCCACTTAACTGCTGACATAATCTTTATGTAACAGTAGGAATTGTACATTAGCTGTATTGCACTGGTGACTCTTAGATTAAGATTGTGTTTGTTCTAACAAATTCAAATACCAGCCCCTTACACCTACAAGGTTGGTTAGTTCTTTTCTGAGGGGGAATTATTTTCTCTGATTCTTGAACTGAATAATCTCTTTCCCCTTTTTGGTAAGAAACTCAAGTAAATGTAGGTGAAAGGAACCCTCTTGTCCCTTACAGATAAACTACAGATTTTCAGAAAAATTTTCATTTTTTTGTTCTTTCTTTTTTTTCTTTGAGTTTTTAAATCTCTCCCTCTCAAAGATATCTGGTATTCTACATATGAATATGTGACTGTGTTCTGTGAGATTTAATGTTAGCTTTAATGAGAACTTTTCATGTAAATCATTAGTACATTTGATGTCTGCGAGACCTTGACTGTTTGTGAATTTCACAAAAATGTACAGGCTTTAATATAGGAAGCACATGCCTGGTGATAGGATTACTTTGTCTACAAGAAGTGGTCTGCAATGTTTATATCTTTAAATTAATTTAATTTAGTTTACCTTTATGAATGTTGCAGTGAACTCTGGATGCATTTTTAAAAAGTGTGATGACTCTCACAAGTTTCTTTTCTTCTTAAAAGTTTAAATCAGTATAACTTTGCATGAGAAATCAATGCTTAGGAGAAAATAGGGTCTTAATAAGAAAAAATGAAACTTAGATAAAAATTATATAAACCAAAACCAGTGAAATGACAAGAAACAAAATGTAAATTACAAACAGGTTTCCTCTGCCTTTCAACAATCTGTTTTTACTCACCAGAATTATTTGAAATACGGAAACTCTCCTCTGTATTTCTGCAAGTAAAGACACACATTGGATTACAGATCCTGTACGACAGAGAAGGACTGAGGCTTTACCTTCAAGTGGATGAACGGTGGAAGGACGATACCACGGGCCTTTGTGGAACCTTCAATGGGAATACAGAGGATGATTTTTTGTATGAATAGCTGCAAGATATCTGTTTTCCAGTATATGAATGTCTACAGTTAGTGGTAGATTGAGTGTGTACTGAAGCTGAATGGATAGATACCAAGAATAATTTACTTTGATGTTTTCAATTAGTGAGACAGATAGTAGGCTTTAGTTTGCTGACAGAGAATCTACAGGATATCAAGCCAGATTTTGCTGAAAATATTTTAATATAAAAGTACAGTGAAGTATATAAGGTGCACAAGGGTTAATTTATCTGAAAGATTTTTTTCAAAATACGAAGTGGCCTACATAAGGAACTTTCTGCCTCCTTGCAAGCCTCTTTTTCTTCAGCTCCTATTTTCTGCTGCAATTTCTAACCTGCTGCCTCTGACAGAACCTCCATTGTTCAGTGCCTGCAGGCCAGCAACAGAAATTGGCTCTTGCCTGAGCTTCTCTTTGTTGTGATGCAGTGAAAGGTGGTCAGAGCTGCCTGAGCACTATAGTCAAGATTACTGTTTGTCCAGCTTCTTTGCAACGTGTTTCCCAGAGATAATAAAGAGCAAATTGGCTTCCAAAGGATTAGAGCAGCCAGGTAGAACTAGGAGAAGAACAGGAATGTGTAGCATGACAGAATATTTCTTTTACCAATATAGGACAAGAAAGAGTAGGAGAACTTTTTTCTCTCAAAACAGTTGGATTTTTTTCTAAATCAAGAGTAATTTAAAAATGAAAAAACTTTCCGTTATAGTTCCCATTCAGAAACACACATACACACACAAATACGCCAGTGGAATTTTGAAAAAATTCTATCTTACTGATTAAAAGTATTATCAGAATATTATTTATAATGAGGCTAGGAAATATATAGACGATATCTCAATAAAGAAATTATTTATGTAAAACTACTTAAAATATTTCTCTTTGACAAGTAGTTTGATAGTGTATTTTTGATAAAAGTCTTTCGGATTGTTCTCACGTAAGTGAGAAGTTGTTCAATAGTTTGGTACTTGTGGAAAAAAGTCCTTAAACTTGGGAAGTTATGAACTGTGCTGAGACATGACACAAACTATGGTGTACAAGCATTTTGGTTTGTATACAAAAAAACCTTGATCCATGCCAGATTTGTGAGCCTTGCCATAGGCAGCATTGTCTTTTGCAACACCTCCACTCCCAGCTATTTTACCAGCAGGAATACTACTTATGGTGTGCCTAATGCACTCTTTTCTCTGGATTGAAACACCCCACATTTAAATGCAGAGTTTTGATCCTTCTCCTTGTACAATATTACTGTGCCCTGGTTACTTTGATCACAGTCATTATCATTCAGCTTCTATTGCCCTTCTGATTACCTGGGCCTCATGGATATCTATTCTATTGCTTTTGCAGTTATATTTCTGGATGCTTCTATTTCTTTCCCTTCCTCTTCCTTGCAGGGAACAAAGAGCATGGAAATACAGCTAACCAGCAACATACAGGAAAATATAGGTAGAGGATAGAAAAAAATGAATCAGATATCACGGAGGAAGCAAAAGTGAGAATAAGAGAGTGCAGACTGTCAGGACAGCGGTGTGCCCTCCTTCTCTCTTATAAAAATAGAACTTGGTCTATTTTTTGATCTTTCCTTCCATAAAAGGTATCTAAAAGCTCCATTTCACATTTTCTCTTTCCTTCATGGGCCTTTGCCTGGAAAGAAAGAAGAGTCTTGAAACTTAAGCTGAGAGTGCTTTAGAGGAGAGAGCATGAGAATATGGAGCAGTGGAAGGGGAGCTTGGATCTGCATGGTAGAACTGAGACTGTTCTGTAAATTCACTGTATCTTTTCTGACTGAACTCTGTTTTGTAAAAGATCTCCAGTTGGAGTAACTGAAAGCACTCCAGAGCTGTTTGGAAACACATGGAAGACTTCATCGGCGTGCACTGTTGTGCATGATAGTTCACAAATGGATCCCTGTGATATTCATCTGCAGGCAGGTGGGCAGTGAAGGCCAGTTGTTATTGACAGATTACTTTCTACTTAGTACATCTGTGCCCATTTTCCTAGTTGGATCAGGTAAAGTAATAACCAGTCCTACGCACTGAAATAGTTATTACTTACAGGTAGCATTTGCTGAGTTCAGTCCCCTAAGAAATCATACTGTGTGTTGTTTAAGGATTTTGGGATACTTGCAGAGGGACTTGAAATACCCCCTTTTTATTTCTGGTTTTCAGTTACACTGTATTAAGTCAGACATGCATTAAAGGTTGATAGTATGTATGTCTAGTATTGGTGATGCTGCTAATTAAGATGGAAACTAAAAACTATTGGAGCATTCACTTTTGAAAATACTGAAAAAATTAAATACTTGATTTAGTTGTCTAGAATTGAAGAGGATGAGTAAGAGGAAAATATTGATGCACTGACAGTCTTTAGATTCAGCTAAAAGGGTGCAGTTGAGGAAATATACCAGTGGCTGATGCCATGAGGACCACAGATGGTCACTGAGTCATCCTTTAATAATGATGAACTTTGTAATCGTCAGTTATATCCATTTCACAGTTATACTTCTTTTCTTTGTCTGTACACACTTGTTAAGACATAGAGGTAAAATGTCAAGGTTTTGCCTGTACTTTCAGCAGTGCAAGGGAATCATCATGCCTCTTGCTGCAACAGAATCTGTCTTTTGAGTGTTTATACAATGGACAGTATTAAGAAGCTGTATTTTTTGTAATGGGTTTGGAGATGAATGTAGAAAGAATTAGCCTGTACAAGAAGTCAGAAATTCTGGAAAAGGGATTTTGAAGTCCTAGTTTATACATCATGCTCTTTTTGGTGGTAAATTTATCTCTTTATTGGTATGCTGATACAGTGTATCATTTCTTTAGACCACTATTGCACAACTATTTAATTCATTCAGAAATGAGATATTCAGGTGAGTGCTGTGTTTGGAGCTTCTTACACAGCTATTTGGTACTGGTCTTGCTCTCCTGTGTGACAAGCCAGCAGCTCTGGTTCTGGCTGCAGCCTTAGGCAACTAAAACAATGAATAATAGATTATTCTTTAAAACACTTTTTGAAGTATTTATTGGGAATGACTTAAGCTACAGTGATGTCCAATGAAATGTGTGTGCATTACAGGCACTGGTTAGTTTATAGCACTTGTTACCTAACTCACCTCCATGTATCAGTTTAAAGATAAAACCTTGACTGTAGGCACTGTCTGCATATTGTAAAGTTTTCTGAATTTAAAATCATACCAAGAACAAGCTCAATACTATGAGAAGCTAACTTTTATTTTTGTCCTATGTACAGTTGTATAGGTATCAAAGACAAAAAGATGTATGTGGCAGTTGTATATAACCATGACCAGTTGCATTGCGTAGAAAACACTTTTTGTTCCAAGTCTTTTTAAACTCCTTCACTGAAACAGTGTTTAATCTGTTATTTGTGTAGCCTCTTATGCAGCGGAAGCTTGTAGCATCCTTACGAAAGATCTTTTTGCTCCATGCTACCCCTATTTGAGTCCTGTTCCCTATTTTGAGCAGTGCAGAAGAGACACTTGCAAATGTGGACAGACTTGTTTTTGCTCTGCTCTGGCCCATTACGCTCATCATTGCCGAAGGTTTGGAGTTGTAATAGATTTCAGAGGAGCTGTCCCAGATTGTGGTGAGTTTCCTTTCACTTCTAGTCTTAAATAGTTACTGTTGGAGGACTTTAGAATGACACTTGGAAAATAAAATTAAATTAATATAATCTTTTAAATGCGAAGAGGATTAATCCTAGCATGATCTTTTGTGCATAGGACAAGACTCTTTTTTGTCAGGACAGAATTAGCACCAGTGTTCTTCGAGGATCGCTCCTTTACATTTTACTTTCTTTAGTTCTTGGTTTGTGAAACATTGCAAGGTGGTTTTTTATTTTTTTAAAGTCGTGGAGGGCTTCAAATGTACACAGGATTAAAAATATGCCTGCACCTCTTATATGCCGTTGTGTATCTCATACCATGTAGATATTATTCATGAGCTGCGTATATAGATTTGTTCGTTTCCTCACAGATGCCAGGTTTATTTATTTATTTAATTCTTTAAATGCATGAGGTGAAAAATGATGGTGATGTATTTAGCAGTTTTAGTTGGATTACTGCCGACTTTTGCTGTCTGACAGTCTCCCTTAGCTTGTACTCTTACTGTCAGTGATGCTGAAATACACAGAGTGCTGAAGTAAGTGTTGAGAGTTGGTATTGTTGACACATTGACATAAAATGGATAGAAGAATATAAATAGTGTAAATGTAGCCAAAGGTGACATCTTTAGTCTGCATTATAAAGCCTCACACGTAGAGGAGTGGGAGAATATTATTAAATGTTTTAGTTTATATTAACTTCTAGTGATGCAAAAGATACTGATAGGACATGTAGTGCCCTCATGTACATTTTAAAAAAATTATAGAATTGGACACCCTATAAAACAAACCGAAACTGGTACCCCTGAGGTTTCAGTAGATTTAGCTCTATTAACTAGGCTGAAAATCTTTTCTAAGGAATATTCAAGAACTTAAGATCAAGTAGTTGTCATCACATCATTACATCACACCGCAACATCACATCACCACGACATTATCCATGTTGCATGATAAAGATGATTTAGGGAAGTTGGTCCACTTTAAGTTATCTGTATGTATATCTGAAACCGTGGCTTGCTTGCATTCATTTTGGCATGAATGGCCACATCCCCTATGACTGAGTCATTCAAACCCTTTGATTTTATTTTATGTTTCTAGAAGCAATTATAGTTTTCCTGTAATATATTATTAAATTCATGCTTCTAGGGTTTCAAATATGTGAATCTTTTTAGTATTTCAAGAACTTAAAATTTATTTTTTTTTAGTAGCATAGGAGACATATATATGTATATATGAAAGAAATTTTAAGATGGTATTGTGCTACCTCTGCAAAGTACATACATTTTATATAGTGTTTTTAATGTTTCAAGATGCTCTGCACTTCCAAAAGCCCACGCACAAGGGCCAAGCATTTTCAGAGTTAAGAGGCAAAAAGGCTTCAACTGTTCAGTTTCCCCAGTGTAAATCTGGATTAACTGCACGGACTCATCACACTTGTTATTACTGTGGATTTACATCTGTGTAGTTTACACCACGTAGTGCCAAGATAGCAATTTTAGTGGAATTTAATGTGATTGGGAATAAAAGAATGGAGATGTTTATCAGAAAAATGTTGGGAGGGCCTTGAGTCTCTTGCGCAGTAATTTGAGAGATTTGTTTCGTTTGGACAGCTCTTTCATGTGAAGATACAAAGGAGTACAGTACTTGTGTATCTACCTGTGGCAGAACCTGCCAAGCACTGTCCGTGCCAGAGACATGCAGCAGTGATTGTGTTGAAGGCTGTGCTTGTCCCTCTGGAATGTATTTGAATTCCAAGACTGAACAATGTGTACAGAGGTAGGTCAAGTTGCAGTTCTGATAGTCACACTTGCTCTTTTAGACCACTGCATTTGCAAGTCAGAGTGACAAGCTAATAAACATGTAATGTTGTAGATGACATGCATCTGTAAACTTGTCAGGGTCTTAGAATGATACAGAACTGATATCTGTGTTGACAAAAAATAGCTCTTCCATAATATGGACACTCGTCCAACATTATCAGTACTACTTGTTACATATTGTCTGGTTTTTTGGTATATGAAAGATAGAAAACATAAGGTTCCACTTTCTGATTTGGTTTTATTGTGTGTGAGCTGTATGGCAGTATTGAGACCAATTTCTCATTTTGAAAACAACCAACCAACCAACCAATTGCAAAACCCCCATCCAACCAAAAAAAACCCTCATCAAAAGCAACAAAGCAACCAATTGAAATTTGAACAGCAGTTAAGTCAGCGGGAGTTTTTTTTCTTTCTTCAGTTTGAGTTAATCAGTTTCATGTTTTTTTCTCTGCTCCAGAAATGAATGCCCATGTTATTTTCAAGGGATTGATTATCCCGCTGGACAAAATGTTATGACATCTTTAGGGAAATGGTAAGATACAAAACTGTGTTTTCACACAACTAAATGGTGTAACTTTAGGAGCTCTGTCAAATCCTTCTGGCTGGCATGCTGAGTTTTGTTCTTTTGGTATTTTTTAATGATACAAGCAGAGTAAATGTACATCTGTTTTCTGTGCATGTTTGACAGAGGTTCTTTAGAACTTAACTAATAGCAGAACAGAACAAATAATGCCTGTGATGGATACACAAGTATTATCAGCATAATACTCTGTTTTATTTTAAAGGCCATAGAAGAGATTGGTATTGTTGGACACCTATTGCAGTAGGGGCGCTTAAACACACACACTAATTCTCGCTCCTATCAGCAGTCCATAAATATACTGATCATTATAAATCTATATCTTAATCATCAAGTTGGCTCATTTTTACCTTAGAGCCGATTTCCTAGAGAATGTCAGGCAGCCCATTCTGCATATGGGGCTGTGCAAAGGCTGGGTGCAGTGTGGCCTTTGGTACTGCTTTGCCTGTTGCCTTTTTATACTGTGGAATCCTTGAGAACTTTCCCTGCAGGGCTGTGGGGTTCAAACACAACTTTAAATGTGTTCACAGAATGGCTGTAGCACATGCAGAATTTGATTCTGAATCTACTGACTAGCTGTAAGGGCACTGGGGATGTCTTAGCCATTGCAAAGAACGGAAGAATAGTGCTGGAGTTCATGGGCTCGGATTCTCTAGTGAAGCACAGGACCTGAAATGAAGCCAGTACTGCTTCAGTTTTCCCTGACAATGAGTTGCAACCAGAGCTGCTACTATTTTGTAAAAGTACTGGACCATTTTGGCTCACATTAGACTGGACCAGTCAGTGTTAGGTTTTTCAGTGCTTCCCTCTCTAGATTATCTTGTTAGTTTTGAACTGTTTCATGTAGGAGGAAAAATGTTTTGTCTGTTCCTGCCTGTGTGGTATTTTGCATATGTGAGTGGGTAAACATGCTACAACTTTATGATAAAATAACTTTAAATTTTTATTTTGAATATTTGATTAGCATAGAATTGATTGAAAATTTTTAACTTTTGATTATAAACTGTAGTTCCAGGTGTTTCTGATAACAGTCAGAGTAGGTTGTGATTTCAGATTCCTATTATATTGCTGAAACAAAATTACTTTGAGACAGCATGAGGATGAAATTCAGCAATTGCTTCACTGTTTCCTTCTGTGAGCCAGTAACACTAAAGTAATTGAAACATTCATTTTGTTATAAATGAGATTGAAATCCATGATCTCGTCAGATATTTTCAGGTATACATCCCCTTGTGATCCATGCTAGGAGTGGTTGAGAAAAGAACCAGATACCAATCTATCATGTTGTGCTTGGGGAAAAGTCACTCCATTACAAAATATTGTTGCAGTTGTAATAACTTGTGATTATATTCAACATTGGGGTTCTGCCTTCAGCTATGGGATAACTTAAGAACTGTTGGTGTCATCAAGATTTTCACCTGAACTAATAGCTTGTTTTTTAGTAGAGTTCTATGACAGTGAGAAAAATGGAACATCCAATAGTGTTAAGCATGTTCATACATGAGTGCATACCCAGAGCTTGCTGTAACCTATGCATATGTGTGTTTAGGGTTTTGTTTTGTTGCTCTTGCTCCTTGCATTTTTATTTTAGATAATGATGATTTTGTTATGTTCATGACTTGGTTTATTATTACTGCATTAATATTTAGGGAGCAGTATAGTGGTATATTCCTGTAAGTACTTTTTTGTCAGCCCAGCTATCTTAACTCATAATAATATTATGTACAAAGTAAAAATTTGAAGTTTAACTGTTATTCTTCATGTGTTAAGGCAATGCACACTTCAGTCCCAGTTCTAATGTTCAATGCAAACATTTATACAGTTATTTTGTACTGACTTACACTGCATGCTTCATTATTAAATAGAAAATATTAATATTTCAGATCTTCCCAGCTCTCATTATATCTCTGTATATTTTTATTGCAGCCATTGCAGTGATGGAGTAATGAATTGTGATAACAACATAATAGGTGAGTGCAGAGAGAGGAAAAAGATACTTCAAGTCCAATGAATACCTATTCTCCAATCCTTGTGGAACCTCTTGTTTGTAGTAGAAGAGAGTGCAATGTGTACAAATACATAACTTCCAGGAGAGGATTCATAATTTAGGAATTATATGTTTGTGTATTTGAAAAAAAAGGCTGGTACAAAGCAGCAGTATAACTGTTCAAAATGCTGGTAAATCTGAGCAACGTTTTTCCCCAGTGTTTTAAAATAGCAATTTTTTTTTAGATTACTAATGCAGATAAGCTTAGCTGCATGATAAACAGCAGACTTTCAGGGGGGCAAACAAAGATTAGATTTGCTCCATAAAGCATGAATGTAGGAATTGAATACTGGTATTAATTTTTCACAAATATGTTTTCTTTTTCTCCGCAAACTCTTAACAGAAATATGAAACAAAATATTTCTTTTGTCATACTTTGCAATACAATGTAACAAGTGCTTTTTCTATTACAGTATATTTCATATGTCATCGAGTATTATGGTCCATACTTGTGTTATGATGTGTGTTATGTACGATTCCTCACTGAGAATAACATTTATTTATTTGAGGTTTCCATTGTGGAATTGCCAACTCTTTGGCCAGAAATTCCCCATGCGCTTGAAGGTGGTGGTTTTAGTGATTTTTACAACTTTCCAGAACCCCTTTCCTTAAAAAATAATTAAGTAAGCAAAATCCCAGCAACCAGCCAAAACCGTTTTAAAACAATGAGACTACTTCAGGCATTTCTGTTTTGTGTTCACCATATGCTCAGTGCAGCCCCAAAGCAATTTTGCAATAGAGTTGTTTTATTCATAGTCAGTGCTTCAGCATGGAAAGTCATATCTAGCTCTCAGATTCTTTGGTTCTTTTGCTTTCTGTTGATTTATGTTTCTCTGTTGGTAGCACTTCACGTGTCCTGACTAACCATTTAGAAAGTTGTGTCCCTTACTAAAAGAATATATTAATTTCAGTATTATATATGAAATTTATAGATGTTCTATGAAGTTAACTATGTTTAGGAATGAGAGGCAATTGGATGTTTAGTAGTATTACTGGATTTTATACTTCTGTGTCGTATCCTCAATCTAAATTTGTTGCACACAGTTACAGAATACAAAATTTCAGGTATGAAGACCAATGTATTTGTCAATTTTTTCCCCAGCACACAATTGCCCAGCTGGACAAATTTATATTAACTGCACGAGTAATCCACAAGTTGATCCTGAACTCAGCAGAGAGAGAACTTGTGAAAATCAGCTGCTAAACCTCACTTTCTCAGCACACCTTCCTTGTGTGTCAGGTTGTGTCTGCCCCCCAGGGTGAGTACAGACAGATGTGCTTCTTTTGGTGCACAAACACAAATGGCTACCTGCAGCAGAGATTGAGTAATTAATTCTGCTGAGGTTTTCTACTCAGCAGAATTCTACTTGGAGAATGCGAATTGTCAAAGGATGAGCATCCAACCTGTGAAGGCTTACACCACGACTTTGTCAGTTGAAGTCATAATAAATGCTAAACCAAGAGACAAGTGGAGCCGAAGGTCTAATACCTCACAAGAATAAAGCCAGAGTAGCAAAATGGCAAGGAAATAATGGGATTCAATCCTTGTAGTGCAGCGGAATTGTCTTTATCTACATATTTTTTTCAGTTATCTAAGCCCTTATTTGAACATTTTGCTGAGGGAGACGTTTCTTCATTTATAGGCATAATTTTCAGTATTCTCTCCCTCAAAAGGACCTTTAAAGTTTTGGGAATTTGCTAATGTGCAGATGAACTTTTGCTGTGTTTTGAAATCAAGCACTGTATTGTTGAGACATTTTTGAGTATAAAAATAACAGTGTGTTTAATTTATGCTGGTTTTGATGGGATTTAGTTTCTTGAGCACATAGCTTGAAGGTTTTGAGTACTATCACTTTAAAATTATTGTTTATACCATCTGAGCCACCTCAAAACAAAGAGTAGAAGCCAGAGTCTCCCTTGATTTGGGTTGAAATAGCTCACTTGAAGTCTGTGGACTTGTACTGATTGATGTGTAGATATTTCTATGTCATGACGAAAGGTTGCCACTCAGAATTCTGGGGTTTTACCTAAGCATTCAGAAACATGAAATGTCAAATGGTTCATGGGAAATGGAACCTGTAATTAATCCAAGTCACAATATGGTATCATGGTGAAAAAGCGCAGTGCTGAAGTAGATTTTGAAATTAACTGGGAGCAGGTACCTTCAGAATCACAAAAACTCACTCTCTTGGACCTGGCAGATACCCTTCAAAACCGGTGGCTACCTTCAGCAGCACTGTATGGCTGGCAACTCAGATCATATGAACTTCTTAATCTCTGCTCTTCTGATGTGCATAATCCCTGAGGTTGTGAACTTTTCTGCTGCTTCCTAGTGTTAGTTCTTGAATTTAAGCATTTAAAATGATTTTTAGTGTTGGAAGGCTCACTATCAAGTGTTAGGGATCCCAAAGTTCTGATAAGTTGGCTGTATACTTAAAGGAGTCAGTTTTATGATTTCCTGGGAAGAAAAATAGAAAATTAGGAGTTTCACCTTTACTTTGGCAAACTGAATTCTGTTCTCCTATGGCTGTATGATGGCTATAAAGAACTAATACAACCGTTTGTTTGTTTGTTTGTTTGTTTTTTCCTTTGGGGGAGAATGCAAGGAGAGGTTTGTTTGTTTTTCAGGATTTTATCCTCAGTGCTTAAGGTAAATTAGGAAATAGTGTTATGAGCCTAGGATTGGAACTAGATTTTGAACTAGAATCTGTACTGAAGAAATAGAAACGATAAAGTTACTTGCAAGCTTGTCAAAACTGATATCTTTTAAATATTCAGCTCTAGTAGTCTGATATTGCTTGTATTATTTTTTTTTTTTTTTAGATTTTTGAGATTGCTTTAGGAAAAATTAAGATAGTCCTGAAAGTGTGTGTTTTCAGACATGCTTTTGGAAACAGGAGAGATTTCTGCTATGCCTTGACCATGCAGGTTTTTAATTAGACAATGAATCCTAATGGTTTAGGAATTTTAATAATAGTTGCTTTTGAATAGAATCTGTTAGAACTGAATAGCCCTAATGTTTTCAGTCTATCACTGAATTCACACTCCAATGATTTGTACTGCAGATTGACCACATTAGAGTCAGAGCAACACAGCAAGGTAAATCTAAATTGCTGGAAGAGAAAGATGGATGAAATACAATTGCCTTCACAAAGTACCTTATGCTGTGTTGATAACAGTTCAAGTAGTGCAGAATTCAAATGCACTGTGAATTTGTGCAACTTTAAAATCACCTTTCTAGACAATCAGTTCTTGCTGATGAAATATAAAACTGAGGTGACATTGTCCACTTCAAAAGGGTAAAACAGTAACAGAATTTCTTTGATCTTACCATAAGTTTTTTACCTGAACTAATTAATTTTAGTCCTTTATTCATGCTTTTGCTCCTGTTTGAGATCTTGCATCTGTTTATCTTGATTCATTACCTGTAAGCTAAACAGACTTAAGTAGTAATGAAACCAGTTTAATGGGTTTGATTAGTTGATTTAGGTGAACTAATGAAATCAGTGAAATAAAGTGAATATGTCACAGTTAAGAAACCTGTATTGGAAGCTACATTTTTTCATGAGAAAGAACCTTTCTGATCCGTTTAATGGGCTGACTATTCTCCAGCGATACCATGAAAGGTACTTAACAAAAAGAGAAGGAAAGAACCTCTTTTCACAGAAAAAGTGTTAACATTTCAATATTGTTAATTTGCAGTCTTATTTTTCTAGTGTCTGGAGTCTGAAATATTCTTTCAGGTACTTCACTCTTTCTAGCATTCCTTCTTTCTTGTGCTCAGAATACATTCTAATGGTCCTTGCATGAAATGGAGATTAAATACCAAATAAGTAGATCATAGGGAAAAGTAACAGTTGTCTCCAGGTGTGCTTCACTTGACCTTCTTTTCAATCTGCAGTGAGTAAATGAGATGCAAGTAACTATGATTAAGTAAATACTTGAATTTACAGGAGGTAGTTCTATGGGTTATAGTTCTTATGGTATAAAAATTTATGATTATTTACTTTCACTCTGTTTTAGAAGTTGTTGAGGTTACTTTCTAATGTCGATCTACCCTGCTTTGCTTGACGTATTTAGTGATTGAGATTTTATTTGTTTTTTTCTTACTGTTTGTCTGTCACTGTTCAGATGGAAATTTCCTATATTTCTGTGCTGCATTTCAGAAAAATATATAATGCTCTTTTTACAGCACAGTTCATAATTTTTCAAGTTCAATCTTTGAATTACATTTTCTGCTTCTGGGTTGCTATGACTCAAGTGATTTTTGAAACGAAGAGAGACTCTATAATCAGACTGCAGAAGAACACAAAAGCAGAGTGAAAGATAAAGAGAAGAAAAGCAGTAGTATCTTCATATATTTCTGCATACTATATGATGCTTACCACAAATGGACGAAAGCTGATTAGTGCCTTTCCTTTTCCGTGATCTCCATTCAGATCAGTAATGATCTCTGAAACAGCCACCTTCTGTGTATTGCTCCTTATAGCCTGCTCTTAGTGTTGCTGCCAAGAAAAACCAGTCTTCTTCCTGAAGGAATTACGTGTGTTTTCTCACTTTCCCCCTTGATGTCATTTTTCCCTCTGACTGCAGCACGAATTGGATTTAACTGACCTGTACTTTATAAAGTGTACAGGATAAAATCTGTACTGTAGATACAATGTATATAGTTTTGTGTGGGTATTATATCAGCTGGAGTCAGTTACCCTAGAGATCTTTTCTAACCTAAATAATTCTATGACTCTAAGAGCAGCCCTGGTGGTTTTTTGAAGACAGATGATTTTATTTGGACTGACTCAGGTGAATGGTTTTGTAGTATACATTAGTATATGTTTTAGATCATGTTCTCCATACACATTTCCATTAACTGAAATATTTAGTAATTTCCATTTATTTTACATTAATGCCCCCCTAAATATGAATAATAAATAAGAATTCTGAGAGTTACATCAATAACACACAGTACACATTGCCCCAGATGCAGAGTAATATTTTCTATCACTTCTGTTGCATCTACCTATTAGATCTTCCTTATTTTTTCCAATTTATGGTTCTATCCCCTCTATAGCTGTGTTAATTAAACCATCTGCTATACAATCAACCTAAAACAAGGATTCTCTGCTAACTTCTCAGTATATTGAAACAAAGTAAATTGTTGTCATGATTAACTTTGTTTGAACTTTAAATCATAACCAAACTTCTCTTCCTAATCATGGTTACAAAACTGGCTGTAATTTTCTCCTTGTTTCAGTGACTTTTTCCCCCCCTCAATGTTAGTACTGCAAGGCAATAAAAAATGAATTTTCTACTGGCTACTAGTAGTGATTATCTGCCACCTAATTTCTCACAGCTCAGCAACATCCAATACCCAACTTGATATTTTATGGAGTGTCAACAGACTGTCCTTACAAAGAAAGCAACATCATTACTAGTTATTCATTACAATTACCAAGAACAGAGATTTTGGGATCACAGTTTGAAGTATGAAAGGAACACTCACACACTATTTTGAAATAGTGTGCTCCATTTTTCCAAGCACGTATATTAATTTACATGGTCTGTAAGCCTCAAGAATACTAGACAGCATTGCTGTATCAAAGTTTTCTCTTTTCCTCTCCACTATATCCTTTAATTGCCTGTAACTGTGTGAGCCACCTTTTTAAGTAGAATCTTTGAAAAAAAATTTTTTTATGTGTATTTTAGAAAAACATAGCCAATCCCTCTTTCCTGGCCCCCTCCCACAAAAACATTTCATTTTACCAAGTTTACATCCATGAATTTCTGCAGATGTGGCTTGTGGTTGACAGTTCACAAAATGGAAAAAGTTAACAGGGATTTTTATTTTCTTGATGCCAAATTTTATGCAATTTATGCAGTGTTTTCTTTCCAAACACATTAGTTGGCACACTGAGTTAGAGTCATTAAGGCTGAAATCTGTGGGACCAGGTTTTGATTTAGTGTTCCAGGATCTACCTCAGTTTCTCTTCTGAATTAGTGGTGTGGAGTTACAAGGCAAAAATCTCTGGTGTGGTGCGACAATAGTCCACCTCTGCCAACAACTGTTATTATTTATGACAGAGAATGATATCTTTTGTGCTGAAACTGGACTCCACTAAGTTTGGGGCAATTTAAAGTAATCAGAATTTTTGTCTGTTCCTTTTTTCGTCACTCATTGATCTCATAAAACAAAACTATGAAAAGATAGTAAATTCAAGACTAGCATCCTATAATTGCAATGAAGTTTTGTAACTAAGGAATA